AGAGACACGCAAACTTCAAATATACAGCAGCAGGCGTTAGGGTCGGGATCGAACCCACAACCTCCTCCACACCAGGCGAGGTAGTTAACATCTCTTAGCCACCGTGATGATGATGAGAGAGAGAGACACGCAAACTCCAAATATACAGCAGGCGTCGGGGTCGGGATCGAACCCACGACCGCCAAGCGAGGTAGTTAACCTCTCGCCACCTTATATATGTCAGAATAATATAATAACGAATATCATACAGAGCTAAGATGTGTTTATCGGGTTGTATCACATGTATAACCGTTTATATATATATATATCTGGTCACACAGACAAATAGAAAGATCCCCCGTATAGCCTAAACAGACTGCTGGGGCAAGTGCCCCGAGCAAGTACCACACAAAAATAAAGATCCCCCGTGTAGCATCAACAGACTGTTGGGGCAAGTGCTGTTAGCGAGCACCTATGAAGCCCAGAACGGCACACAAGCGGGTGGGTGGCCGGCACCATGTCCAGCCGCCTTTGTCTCCCTAGTGGCGATGTTTTAAGCGCCGCACCAGCTACTCATTTGAGGCTGAGTCGACCTATGGGAGGCCCAGGACCGGTGCAGATAATCGTCACTGATGTTGACCGTGAGCGGGAATCGAACTCGGGCCGCCAGGTTCGTAGCGCAGCGCACTAACAGCTACACTACACCCCCACACACCCCCCCACACACACACCCCCCCAACACACACACACACACCCCCACACCCCCCCACACACTCCCCCACACACCCCCCACACATCCCCCCACACCCCCCCCACACACCCCCCCCCACACCCCCCCCCCCCACACACTCCCCCACACACCCCCCCACACCCCCCCACACACTCCCCCACACACCCCCCCCCACACACCCCCCCACACACCCACCCCACCCACCCCCCCACACACCCCCACACACCCCCCTCAAACACCCCCCCCACACCCCCCCACACACCCCCACCCCACACCCCCCCCCCACACCCCCCCCCACCCCCCACACATCTCCCCCACACCCCACCCCACACCCCCCCCCCACACCCCCCCACACACCCCCCCCCCACACACCCCCCCCCCCACACACACTCCCCCCCACCCACACCCCACACACACACCACGTGTACACACCCCTGCCGGATCACAAGACGCACCCACCGAAACGAGGTTTTTGTTTTAATTAAAAACATATCCGGGAGGTGTAAAGTTCGACTTGCGGAGGATGAAGCCGATTTATGGACAGCTCCTTCTACTCACAACGTCTTTGAGTGTCCCGTGCGTGTGGACTCGGACCCGGAGGACGGTGACGACGATTCGACTGATTGATGCGTGCGCCTCGACCCTTTTGAGCTTCACGACACACGGATGATCCAATCGCGACTCATAATAGCAATGATCATCCCAGTGTTTTTATTCGTAAATTGTCTGTACGTACTGGGTTTAACGTGACCGGCCGCTAGAGGCCGCTATATCCACGATAGCACTGGTCAACACACTTTTTCTGGCATAAGGTATTCCAACGATTCGAAAGTAATTTTGGGGTGCCGATTCCAAATCTGGCATCAGTTTTTGTCTATCACATCAGGTTTTTGAGATATCAAATATTGCATTTTCAATAAAAACTGCAGAAGAAAAATATTAAATAAATGTGGATATCTACATTAAATGATATTATAAACACACTATCCTAAAAATACAGCACCATATTTTAACACTAAAGCAGTCACTGACTCGCAACAACTTGCAATCATAAGTGACAGAGTTAATTTCGGGTAAAATCAATGAAAATGGGGTATGCCGATAGCATAAAATAAGATGTGATAGAGCAAATCTGAGATCAGATTTGAAATCAGCACCCTGAAATTAGTCTTAAACAGCTGCAAAAGTCCAGGCCAGAAAAAATGTTTTTGTTTTTTTTGACCAGTGTTATTTTATCGAGCGAAGATCAATAATCCTCGAGGCGAAGTTGTGTCCAATTGGACACAAATTCCAGCCCCACGCGGGCCACCACGTTTCCACGCTGCACGCGTCCGATGATTGTTAAACACGTGCTACGTGACGCACAAAATCAATTAACGCTGTCTGGCGTTTATAAGCGCCGTTTCAAATGACGAAATAGAAATCTCGTTGTGCGCGTGTGTGTACACGTGTTCCACATGTGTGTGTACACGTGATCCACGCGTGTGTGTGTGCGTGCGTGTTTGTGTGTTTTCACGTGATTTGCGTGTTTTCACGTGATTTGCCAATGTGTGACGCACATTTTTGCTACGAATCACATTGTATTGGCCGTGAAAGCATGCGTGCTAAATTGTGCTATGATCGGTCTAAATATAATCTGCCCGAGCAGACTTGAGCAACAGGGAGTCTATAATTTAACGCCGATTAAGGTTTGTGCAATATTCTCCATTTGTCACGTGACGCCGCTGTTGCTCTGACTTCAGTTTGGGCCATAGCTGTGCTTGTATTTTTTTTCTCTCATTCGTTTTGTCTTTTTGTCACCAGAGTCAGAATCTTTACTTCATCCTGGAGAAATCCTACGAGCTACGAAGCAGATGTCCAGTAGGGGGGCGGCGGCTCATGAAAGTTACATGGGTGGATCCTCAGGTTATCCTTGCAACTGACGTTGATTTAGTCGTGGTCTCTTGAGTTTGCATCCGGTTAAGCTTACATGTCTTTTTTGAAAAAACTCGCATTTTATTCGCTGTCAGACGCACGCATCTGATCGCGCGTGTGTAACCCAAAAGCATATTCCTGCGGAGGGAGCTGGTAGGAACGTTGGGTTGCTCGGTCAATGGCCAGGGTCAACGGCGGCGTGGTGTATTCCGCAAATATGGCCGACTGTGAGGGCGGGCACAAGCCGGCGTGAGTAGGTGAAACGTTGAGTTTTATAAGGGCACCACGGGGTGACCAGCCCCTCCCCACCCAGCCGCACCCCTCCCACCCCCCACCCAGCCCCTCCCCACCCTCCCCACCCAGCCCCTCCCCACCCTCCCCTACCCACCCAGCCCACCCTCCCCACCCAGCCCCTCCCCACCCTCCCCTCCCCACCCAGCCCCTCCCTCCCCACCCATCCCCTCCCTGCACGACGGACGGACACAAGAATCCCCTGTGGGCTGGTGTAACCAGGAGGTTCCTACCAGTAAAATGTTTCATAATTGTGTCTCCAGCTTCTCACTATGAACATATTGTATGGGGATCCTTCGTGCCGATGAGATGCCGTGTGGCGAAAGCGGTCCCGAGCGCTGCTGGAATGATGGTTACATCACGTGGTTACAGTAAATCTAGCTGTGACGGTCCCACCTGATGACGGAGACGTGTGTTGCCTCCGAAACGTCGTGATTTATAATTTTTATTTCTATTATTATTTCTATTATTTTTATTTTATTATTTATTTTTTACCTACGTGACTTTACCGAAAAAACCTAAGAGTATGGAATGAATCAACCCGCAGAAGGCCGTGGGGCCGATGGGATGTGTCAAAACGAATACTTTTTTTTTTATTGGACAGATACGCTGTGTTATCTCGACATTGTCGGCTTGCCTCTTTTGTTATTCATATTTCTTTTTACAAATAATTTATACCAATTAGAAAAGGACAAACTACACCGATTATTTCGCGTTATGCGTGTTTTTTTATGATTGTACGACGAACTATTACATCCGGCAGTTCACAAGCGTCGTTGATGCAAGCGAAGCCCTGATTCTGCCGATGAGACCCTTGACTGTGGAAACCGGCCCATGGTGTTGCTTATGAGTCAATGCTGCGGTGATGACTTAATCCCAGAAGGCCGTGTGGCTGATGAGTTGTGGATAGATCGATGTAGCTATACAAAGATGTATTGTACGGTGTTCCTTATCGATAAATGTTGCATATATGTGTGTGGGGAGAGGTAGTGTAGTGTTTACGATTATTTGAATCGGTCCAGGGACTCAGTCTCAAATGAGTACCTGGTGCGGTGTGTAAACATCGCCACTGGGGAGACAAAGGCGGCCGGGCGTGGTGCTGGCCACCCACCCCCTCGTGTGCCGTGCCGGCCTTCATAGGTGCTCGCTAACAGCACTTGCCCCTACAGTCTGCTGAGGCTATACGGGGGAATCGATGTATTTTGGAGTGGTGGCGCAGTGGTTAGCGCACTGTGGTATAAACACATTGACTCCTGTTTGATTCCTGGCCATGGCCAACATCATATGGGCGAGGAGGAGGCCAAATAATACAAACGGGGTGGTTTAAAAACGAGACAAAACACAGCTTTTTGAAAATCATAAAGTTGATTAATCACGACTCATTTACATTCGTAGCAGCTGAGCAAAAATAAAACACAATATATTCATAATCACACAATCTATTCACAATCTATTCTTAATCGATTGTATCGTAATCGATTCCCGGGCGCGAGTCGTAAAGCGTGTTATTGTGGAGCACAGGAATCGATTGCAATCCGACTGATCGATTAATCGTTACATCCGTCAAGTCACCTGGGATCAGTCACGCGCAACAAACCTTAACTGTACATATTCTTAGGTTTTTTCGGTAAAGTCACGTAGGTAAAAAATAAAAGTTAAATAAAAATAAAATAAAAATCACGACGTTTCGGAGGCAACACAACCGACGGTTCCACCTGAAGACGGAAGCTTGTGTTGCCTCCGAAACGTCGTGATTTTTATTTTTTATTTTTTTATTTTACTTTTATTAATTTTAATTTTTTTTTACCTACGTGACTTTACCGAAAAAACCTAAGAATATGAATCCTTGCAGTCACGAAAGCTTCAAATCTAGACTTAATTGTACACACGAGCCTCACGCGTACGTCATTTCCTGTTAGCTTAATTGATGATTATGGGTGTAACGATGCATCGATGTATCACTATCGATTTTTAAACTCACGATATATGGCTTGTCCACGGGTTTGATGCGCGTAAGAACCGATCATTATTTTCGATTCGTAATTGGTGTTGCGTTCACGTGACCTCCCCACGACTCACTTGAGGCCGCTATATTTGCAACGTGCATTGAATAGCGAGGTAGCCGATTGAATCGTTACACCCATGATTCATGACGATGATGATTATGGTATAAACACATAAACTTGGCACTGCCATAGGAACGTGGAATGTCCACTACCAACGAAGATGAGCGGATAGAGACTTCGACTTTTTTTCTTTATACACTCCGACGCGGTATTTACACGCGATTTCACTTACGTGGTCATATCTACAAGAGCACAAAAACAACACGGGATACACAATGGCAAAATAAATTAAACGGGACGTTATAAATACAGTGCGGTGAACCTGGACACCCGAGTTCAATTCACTGCCACGGCTAACATCAGTGGCAAATCATATCTGAACCCCCCCACAACTGCCTTCACCAAGCTGCACTGGACCAGCGTGGTGAAGTATGGTCAGGAAACTCCCATACCACGATCGACGTGGACTTCATCCAGCAGTAGATTGACAAAGGGTCCGTGTGAATCATTTATACATGTGTAGAATATATACAGCATATAAATACGGTCGTGACCACAGCTTTTAGTCTTTGGTGCTTAAGACCAGCAACGCAAACGCTTTTCAGATGGCCTTGATCTTTAACGTGGCAATCAACGACCGCCACGATTTAGTGACCTCCCCCCCCAGTAGCATCTGTGGGGGCCCTCTTAGTGGCCAGCATGGAGACGCGACCCTTGTTGAGTTCTTCAGAAGGTGACGACGACGATGACGACGGTGATGACGACGACAACGACGTCTATGATGACCATGGTGGCGACGATGACGACGTCTATGACGACCATGGTGACGACGATGACGACGGCGATGACGACGTCTATGACGACCATGGTGACGACGATGACGACGTATATGACGACCATGGTGACGACTATGACGATGATGACGACGACGACGACGTCTATGACGACCATGGTGACGACTATGACGACGACGATGACGACGACGACGACGCCTCGTATTCGCCAGGCGCTTCAGAGGAACACTTCCCTTGTCTCAGCCTCGATCCTCCTCTTCCTCTTGCACCTGCACGAGACAACGACACCCGCCACACGCCACCTTGTTAGTGAAGGGTGACCCGGGTGTTGTTGTCCATTGGTCAATCCACTGCTGGATGAACGCCCCTCCCCACGCACCGCGCCCCCCGACCGCCCTCGTCACGGTGCTGCGATCACGACAGTCTGGCTTGGCACGTGCAGCGCACGAAACGCATCACGAACGCGAGTCGCCATGCAGGGTTCCCTCGCTGTGCTGTGCGGTGGTGGTGGCGGTGGTGGTGGTGGCGGTGGTGGTGGTGGTCGTGGTGGTGGTGGTGGCGGTGGTGTTGGTGGTGGTCGTGGTGGTGGTAGCTGTGGTGGTGGTGGTGGCAGTGGCAGTGGTGGTGGTGGTGGCGGTGGTCGTGGTGGATGCGTTCCAAAAGCGAAGAGAGCGCGCAAAGCGAGAATGCACGAGGGGACGGCTACCTGCCGAGTAGCGCACAAAGTACATACACAGTACACACAGGACACACTACATACACAGTGCATACACAGTGCATACACACAGTACACATAGTACACACACAGTGCATACACGCAGTACACATTACATACACAGTGCATACACTGAGTGCATACACAGTACAAACAAAGTACACACAGTACATACACAGTACATACACAGTACACACAAAGTACACACACACAGTACACACACACAATACACACACAGTACATACACACAGTACACACACAGTATACACACAGTACATACATACAGTACACACACAGTACACATACACACAGTACACACACAGTACACACACAGTACATACACACAGTACACACACAGTACACACACAGTACATACACACAGTACACACACAGTACACACAATGCTCTCCCACATGTAAAGTGAATACAACCCGCGCGGCAGAGCGAATGTGTTGGGGGTAGAGTCACGTCAAGCCGCACACGCAGCCCGAAACCGCACAAACCGAACCCGCGTCGGACTCGGTGGAACGTGGCACGTTTATGTCAGCGGTGGTGTGGGGGGGGACACTGCACACAGCATCCACAATCATCCACGCTGGTGGGAGCTCCGTGGCTTCTAATTCTAAATGTGAAGCTTTCGTGACTGCAAGGATTCATATTCTTAGGTTTTTTCGGTAAAGTCACGTAGGTGAAAAATTGTAATTAATAAAAGTAAAATAAAAATAAAATAAAAATCACGACGTTTCGGAGGCAACACAAGCTTCCGTCTTCAGGTGGAACCGTCACAGCACGATAGCTGTATCAAGTGAGAGACATTCCAAGAAAACAGTCCTTGTATATATTGATACAGCTATCGTGCTGTGACGGTTCCACCTGAAGACGGAAGCTTGTGTTGCCTCCGAAACGTCGTGATTTTTATTTTATTTTTATTTTACTTTTATTAATTTTAATTTTTCACCTACGTGACTTTACCGAAAAAACCTAAGAATATCCGTGGCTTCTGTTTGAATTTGCCATCAGCTGTTTGGAGGCGTTTGCTCTGGTTCGTCCTGAGGTCCACAAGACTGATGTGCGTGGCGATGATCCACCCATCTTCTTGGTTCTTTCGGTAAAGTCACGTAGAATGGAAATAATAAAATAATAAAAATAAAACATAATAAAATAATAATACAAATAAAACATAATACAATAATATACTTTTTTTATTATGCTTTATTTTTTTTATTTTTTTATTTCCATTCTACGTGACTTTACCGAAAGAACCAAGAAGATGAATCCCTGCAGTCACGAAAGCTTTAAATCGAAATTATGATCCACCCACTCAACGGCACGTGCGATCGCGAGACACGAAGCGCTCTGGCCACCCAATTTGTGTTAGCCAGTGAGAGATACCTGGTTAGATTTTTTTTAAAACGTAATTGAGTTTATTTGCCTTTCTTATACTTTGTACTGTTTGTTGTTGTTGTAGCGTGCTGACCCTGTGCCCGGACTGGTCGTCTGTGAAAAAAGAGCTTCATAACTCATCGGATTCCTCCTCCTGTGTGAATGCTCATTCTGATTCTGGCTCAGACCCGTTCGTCAGTGGTTCACATGTGCGCGTGTACGACAGCTCAAATGTCAATACACTGCTGGGTGGCCTTTCGGGGGGGCAGGTAGGGGGGGGTTAATTGACCATACTTCACCACCGTTGATCGGTGCAGATTGGCGAATGGGGAAAACCGGGAGGCGATGTCAGCCGTAGTCAGGAATCGAACTCGGGTTGTTCCGGTTCATCAGTGCAGTGCCCAATGATGTGGTCGATGTAACGTGGCTAGCGGCAATATCCACGCAGCGCCAGTTCAGGCCAGCCATCCTTGCCACACTTAAAGCGCAGTTAGGGCCCTAGAATCATTAAAGGTTTCCGCCCGACTCACGCTAATTAACTTTTACGACTTTCCGGTTACATGCTTCGTATTTTTTTTTATTATTGCTGATGTTGTTGCTACTGTTGAATGTTTTGCCGGTCAATTATATTTCATGTCATCGTGGTGTTTCCTCTGTGGCACTCGGTTGAGATGCGTGCAGGAGAGGGATGGGTTTGCACGTTGGGAATCGCATTGAGCGGAGGGAGAGACGGAGAGGGAGAGAGAGATGAACACGCGTGGTATTTGGGAGACACGCGCAGCTTCACGACTTCATTCAAACTCATCTTCTTGGTTCTTTCGGTAAAGTCACGTAGAAGGGAAGTAATAAAATAATAAAAGTAAAACATAATAAAATTATTCTCACGACGTTTCGGCCACAACGCAAGCAGCCGTCCTCAGGTGAAAACCAGGTCCGTCGAGGCGGCTGAGTCTGAATGACTCGAAAGAACCAAGAAGATGAATCCCTGCAGTCACGAAAGCTTTAAATCAAAATTCATTCAAACTCTGCAGGGGACAGTAAGCGGGGCTTTGGCAAGACGCCGTTACGGCTGCAAGGGGTGATGATGACGACGACGACGACGATGATGATGATGACGGGCGATGGTTAAGAATGATAGTGGAGTGGCAGCAGGAACGAGGGAGGGAGGTGAGGGAGAGAGATCCGTGTGATATCTTGGATTTTGAAAGGAGGGAGGGATTCAGCCAACAGTGGATTGTTTGATCGCTGATGCTGGTGATGACGATGGCGATGATGATGATGATTACCTTTTGCTGTCCAATTCAAAGTGTTTATTTATTTGGTTTTTTTGTCTCGCCGTTTGCAAAACTCGCTACGTTGGAATTCACCGCCCGCCCGCCCGCCCGCCCGCCCCCACCACCACTCGCCCCGGGTTAGACTCTCACAAGCCACTCGATCCGGCTCAATCTCGGCGCAGCCAGTTCGCGTCAGTTCTGTTTGTTGGGTCTGCAAAGTGGAGGGGAGGGTGGCCGGGGTCAGGAGGCCAACCCGAACCCTCAAACCTCGTCCGGGGGCGCGACGCGTGGCTCGACAAAAAAACGAGACTCCAGAGACACTCAAGGAGGGGTGTTTTGATTTTCTCTCTGAGTTATCGGCTGAGCCGTGCGTGGTAAAGAGTGATGATGATGATGATAAGAAGGCGCATCTACTTGTCAGCTGTCTCCGGGAGGACCATACTTCACCACGCCGGTCAGTGCGGGTAAGATATGTTTCAAAAGAACACTCAACAAATCGTTTTGATTTGCATGCCGACGACAAAATCACGAAAATCACGAGAAACAAAAACACCTGTACCCCAATCGCTACGCAACACACGGGGGCAGCTCACTGGCAACTCGTGCCACGGCCTGCGTGCATTGCGGGGTTGTGAGTATCGACGAGCTGGGTTCGTGCCGCAGACTTCTGTCCTTGGCGAAAGCCTCGACACCCTTCGCCGTCACAGTTTTTTTGGTTTGGCCATGTTTGTTTGTTGTAGTACAGAGTTAGACTGATGGCCTTTATCTAAGTTGTCTTGTGGTTGTTGTTGTTGTTTGACTTGCATCCCACTGGCATTTTTGCACACAGCGTTGGTGTACGGTGCTTTTTCAGCAATATTTTTGCTGTCTTTTCTTGGATTTTCTGTTTGCACTCAGTCACATAGTCACTTTAAGATGTTTTTTGTTCATGTTTTCGTATTTTTGTTTGTTGCGGTTGCACCCGATTCAAGGGCCGAATGGCTCACAGGGCTATACCTGATAAATAAACTTGAAATAAATAATGAACTTGAGTTTAGCGCACGCGCCGCCGAATGAGCAAGCGCATCTGCGCGCTTACATCGTCGTCGTCGTCGTCAGCACGAGTTAGCCATGGTCGATCCACTGCTGGATGCATAGACACTTCCGCATGTGCCCGTCACCAACTCTCACGATGTTCACGAGTGCGGTTTCATCCGTAAACCAACTCCCCCCCCCCCCTTTCTCCACCCACATTTCCCTCCCTTTCTCCGTTCTAACAAACAAAGTAAACAAAAACTACCCCAGGTGGAATCCCTTAAGCCGCCTGCCGTGGCTTTAGGCTGCTCGCTCGCTCCGCTGCATCTGCGTGCCCGGAGCCGATGGCAATTTTGTGCGGACGTCGCGTGCGCGCGTACGTGTGTGCGTGTCTGTGTGTGTATGTAGGTGTGTGCGTGTCTGTGTGTGTGTATGTAGGTGTGTGTCTGTGTGTATGTGCGTGTGTGTCTATGTGTGTGTATGTAGGTGTGTGTCTGTGTGTGTGTATGTGTGTGTGTCTGCGTGTGAATGTGTGTGCGTGTGTGTGTGTGTGTGTATGTTTATGTGTGTGTATGTATGTAGGTGTGTGTATCTGCGTGTGTGTGTATGTGTGTGTATGTAGGTGTGTGTCTGCGTGTGTGTGTATGTGTGTGCGTGTCTGTGTGTGTGTATGTGAAGGTGTGTGTTTATGTGTGTGTATGTAGGTGTGTGTCTGCGTGTGTGTGTGGTCTATGTGTGTGTATGTAGGTGTGTGTCTGTGTGTGTATGTAGGTGTATGTCTCTGTGTGTGTGCGTGTGGCGTAGCGGTTAGCGCGCTGCGCTACGAACCCGGCGACCCGAGTTTGATTCTCGCTCCTCTTGCCTCAAATGAGTACCTAGTGCCGTGCGTAAACACCGCCACTGGGGAGACAAAGGCGACTGGGTGAGGTGCTGAACACCCACCCCCTCGTCTGCCGTGCCAGCCTGCATAGGAGCTCCCTACGGCACTTGCCCCATCAGTGTGCTAATGCTATGGGGGGGGGGCGGATCTTTGTCTTTGTTTGTGTGCGCGTGCACAACAACAATCGCTCACGCGCCCGGCACGCGATCACGAAACCCCTCGGTCTCACGCACAGCGCCGCCACTCCAAAGACAAATATCCCCCGTATAGCCTCTTTAAGACTGTTGGGGCAAGTGCTGCTGGCGCGAGACACCTATGAAGGCTGTAACGGCGCGCCACCTATGAGAGAGAGGGCTGCTGTGGCCCATACCACACCCGCCCGACCGCCTTTGTCTCCTCCCCAATGCTGACGTCTTTACGCACACCGCAACAGGTGCTCATTTAAACGCCGAGACAACCTCGGGGGTAGGCGGGGGGGTAGCAGGGCCGAGAACCAATTCAAATATTCGCCACTTGTTACTGGGCGGTCGTGAGCGGGAATGGAACTCGGGGGCTGGCTGGGTTCGTAATGCAGTTGCGCTCACCGCTGCGCCACCGCTCCACCCAGCGTACACGCACAATGGGCACGCGAGAGGCGAAGCGAGCGGCCTCTCTGATCCTCTCCGCTTTCGGGGTCACCGCGACAGCTCCATTGTTGCGTGGAAGCAATGTCTCATTCTCTAGTCGTGAGTGGGCTGTGGGTGGGTGGGGGTGGCGGGATTCCCCTCCCCCCCCCCCTAGCGCTCCCACTCACCATTCAGCGCCACCGTCAGCACGACTCACCGCCCACTAAGCACCACCGCTCACCACCTAGGGCGATGACAAATACCATTTCATGGGCAGCCACCAGCGGGCAACCCACCACGACTCACCACCTTCACCATCCACCAGCAACCGCGTTTGACGCATGATGGGTTACGTTAGAGATGGACACGTGAACTGCCCCTGCCAATTGAAGAAGTTGACCACAAATTTCGACCGCGGCGCAGAAATTCATACCCGGCCCAGCAGTAGAAGGGGGGCTGCTGAATTCGCAAGCGAATGGACGAATCTGTGGTGGACGAATCTGGGGTGGACGATTCTGGGGTGGACGAGTTTGGGGTGGGCGAGCCTGGGGTGGACGAGTTTGTCACGGCGTGGCTTTGGCAGGGGGGAGGGAGACCGGCGGAGCGAGTTGGTGGACTCACCAGTGGTAGGCCACGAAGAGGACGACTAACGCGATGCCGCCCAGGAAGAGCGACGCGGCCGCTGCCGCCGCTGCCCCCTCTGAGCTCGACCTCTTCCTCCTCTCCAGGGCGAACAGCTCGCAGCGGTGACCCGCAAACTCAGCCGAGCACCTACCCCAGGGAGGGGGTGGTGGGGTGGTGGGGGAGGGGGTGGATGGAGGGAAACAACGAGGAGCATGCGTTGAACGCGGGCCGCGTTGCCGCCACCACCACTGAAACTAAACCAAACTAAAAACACTAAACTGCTTTTTTTTATTCTACCAGGTAAGACCGACTGAGATGCGCAGCTCATTTTCAGAAGCGACCTGGCCACCAGATGACAGCCAGATGAAGTGGCTTATCGCGTGGAAATTAACAGCAGTAGGCCAATTGCTCTGAACGTGGAGGGAACAACCGCAGGACACGGAGACAAATCCACGCGACCACCACGAAAGAGAGACACCAATCAACCCCAAATATACAGCAGGCTTCAGGGTCGGGATTGAATCTACGACTTTCTGTACAACAGGCGAGGTAGTTGACATCTCCGAGCCACTGTGATGACGGTGAGAGAAAGGGAGACACGCAAACTCCAAATATACAGCAGGCGTAAGGGTCGGGATCGAACGCACGACTTCCTGTACACCAGGCGAGGTAGTTAACATCTCCTAGCTACCGTGGCACTGCACCCCAATCCTAACATTGGGGTTCAGTGTTTTCACTGCACCATGAATCCAATCGCCTGAATTCAATTATCGGTGATTGGATTCGTTCGGGGAAAGTGCCGTACACCTGGGGCTCGCAACCCGGGGCCAAGAGGGCACGGGTCCCGGGTTTTTCCACGGCTGCTCGAGGTCCGTGTCCTGCAACGGTCGAGCCGGCCCGGCTCTCTGTTCGGGTCACTGCCGTAAGGGTCACTGGCATGGTCGTGGGTGAGCGAGCTCGTGGTATCGCAGTCAACGTCCTCCACTCAAGTTTGAGCGTCGTGACCTGCGCACTAAAACGACGTTGGGCTTCGGGTAGACCCCCAGCCGAACCCAACATCTGCGCCGTTAAAAATATTTTTATAAATGAATAAACCAACAATTATTATTTTTTTAAGATCAATTCCCAAGCCTCGTTCGCCGCCGTACATCTGCGTTTGAGTTCGTGTCGTTGCGTTTTTTTTATTCATCCCTTACCCGTTACCCCAGTATCGGCCAACCATCCCACACATAGCCCAAGTGTCAGAGCAGGAATAGGCGCCCACCTTGAGGTGGCAAAGCAACAGTCCTCTCCATTCATTTACGCCGCTGATGAGAGGGAATTACTTGATAACCCAGTGCACCATGCAATGGGGCTTTGCCATGCAACGGCGCTTATAGGAATTGGCAACATTATTACGTATTTATCATTATTGTCATTCACCAAGTATCCATAATAGAAGGGGGTTTGTTTTGTGGCTAGGTCGCGTGAATAAATAAATGTGTCGTTCAACTCGTCACCACCCGACGCAGCCAATTAGTAAGGTTTGTCATGTAAACAGAACGTGATGTTACAGGTAACGAATTGGCACGTTCTGTTTACGTGGCAATTCTTACTAAGTGGCTGTGTCGGGTGGTGACGGGTTTAACGACACATTCATATATTTACGCGATCTAATGTAGCAAAAAAAACCTGTGTTATGGAAAGCCTCCTTACGTGTTAAACATTAACCAAGTAGTTCGTGTTTAATTCACTGTTATTAAGAAATTGGAACAACTGAATCGATGCCATCTTCGGTGGCACAGGCTGGGCTCACGGACTCAACGCTACAAAAATGTCCCCGCAACATTATCGGCTTCTGGGTTGCACAGTAGCAGATGCATCAGCAACATCGACCTCTCCCCCTCCTCCTCCTCCTGCGTAAACGTGGCAGGACCCTCCTGCCAACGAGTGAGTACCGAGACTCATCGAGGCTCTACTGTGTAAACGAGCTTAGAAATAAAATATAAAATCGATATTTTTTTTGTTGCAAACGGTGTGCCGGTAAAGCCAGGCCAGATTAAGGTGGGCATGGTCCCTCTGTCAGTCACTAGGAATGCGTATCACGCACACACACACACACCTGTGTTACACCTGTGTGTGTGTCATGCGGGGAGGGAATCCCACACCTGTTTTGCTCGTGACACTTAAATTGTCCCTGCCCTCGATTCTCCATTACGCAACGCCCATTCACTCACCGCTCTAATTGCGGCGACGCGAGCACGCATTGTGTGCTGCCGCACACAATGCGTGCTCGCACTCAAACGCGCTTGTGGCACCCCCCCCCCCCTTCACTTCACCCACTTCACCCCCCCACTTCACCCCCACCCCGTCCTTTGAGGTCCTCAAATTAGAGAAAGGTCAGGGTTAGGAGCTTAGTGGCAAGAGGCTAGGGATTAGTGGGTACAGGTTAGTGGCTAGAGACTAGTACCTACAGGTTAGTGGGTACAGGTTAGTGGCTAGGGGCTAGAGACTAGGGGCTAGTGGCTACAGGTTAGTGGCTAGGGGCTAGAGACTAGTGGCTACAGGTTAGTGGGTACAGGTTAGTGCCGAGGGGCTAGAGACTAGGGGCTGGTGGCTACAGGTTAGTGGCTAGTGGCGAGTAGCTAGAAGCTAGAGACTAGGAGCTACAGTTTAGTAGCTAGGAACTAGGGGCTAGTGGGTACAGATTAGTGGCTAGGCGCTAGATACTAGTGGTCACAGGTTAGTGGCTAGGGGCTAGAGGCTAGGAGCTGGTGGCTACAGGTTAGTGGTTAGTAGCTAAAGACTAGGGGCTGGTGGCTACAGGTTAGTGGCTAGTAGCTAGAGACTAGGGGTTAGTGGCTACAGGTTAGTGGTTAGTAGCTAAAGACTAGGGGCTGGTGGCTACAGGTTAGTGGCTAGTAGCTAGAGACTAGGGGTTAGTGGCTACAGGTTAGTGGCTACAGGTTAGTGGCTAGTAGCTAGAGACTAGGGGTTAGTGGCTACAGGTTAGTGGCTAGTGGTGAGTAGCTAGAAGCTAGAGACTAGGGGCTACAGTTTAGTAGTTAGTGGGCTAGTGGGTACAGGTTAGTGGGTAGGCACTAGAAACTAGTGGTTACAGGTTAGAGGCTAGTGGCTAGTACCTAGAGGTTAGTGGCTACAGGTTAGTCGCTAGGGGCTAGTGACTAGGGGCTACAGGTTAGTGGCTAGGGGCTAGAGACTAGGGGCTACAGGTTAGTGGCTAGTGGCTACAGGTTAGTGGCTACAGGTTAGTGGCTAGTACCTAGAGGTTAGTGGCTATAGGTTAGTGGCTAGTAGCTAGAGGCTAGGGGCTACAGGTTAGTGGCTAGGGGCTAGTCCAGGCGTCTTCATGCTGCGGCTCTTCAAGGACTGCTTCGTGGCGTTATGCATCAAGGTCCGCCGTCACATATTCACAAAGTGCATTGCAGCTCTTGAAAGAGTTATTATAATTTTTACCGAATTAATCAAAACAATTCCTCTTCTTGCTCCTTTTGTTCCCGACTCCTGGGCTACAGGCGAGGGGCCAGCGGTCGCAGTTAGTCCTTAGGGGACATCTTGAAGGCTAGGCGATAGAGCTACGGACTAGCGATAGTGAGTGGTAATGGTATGGTTCGAGCCATAGGTCATGGGTCAGCTTAGAATTAGTGGAGGCGCTATGGTTAGGGGTTAGGGCTAGGGTTAGCTAGCGGTAGAGTTAAAGCAAGAGGCATGGGCAGCGTGAGCATGAGGCCAGTGTCGGGGTGAAAGTCACGATTCAGGTTGGAGTCAGTGAAATAGGATCAGCGTTAGAGTCCCCGGGTAAGGATCAGGGCTGTGCGGATGATGTCAGTGTTAGGGTTGGAGTCCGGGTAAGGGCCAGGGTTGTGTGGAGGATGTCAGGGTTAGGGTTGGAGGCTGCGTGGTGCGGTCATCACCTGCAGTGTGGTTTATCTGTCTGGTGGAGGTAGTGGCAGGATCCCCCGTTGAGGCAGTAGTCGCGGTAGTGTGCGGGGCACGGCTGTGCGTGGAGCGCGGAGATGCGGGGGTGCTCCACCTCCACTGTGGGGAGACGAAGAGGAGTTCGTCATCATCAGCTGCAGCAGCAGCAACAGCATCATCATTCTCATCATCGTCGGCAGTAGCAGCAACAGCATCATCATTGTAATATATGCATCAGCAGCAGCATCGTTATTGTAACGCGTCATCATCATCACCATCAGCAGCATCGTTATACTATAGTCATGATGATGAAAGATGTGGGGCGATAGAGATAAGGGGTGAGGATGAGGAGAGAGACAGAAGATGAGAATGACGGCGACCTTGGGGAGGCCTCCACGCAGCAGTAGATTCATCATTACTGAAGACGATGGTGACGACGATGATGGTGACGACGTTGATGGTGACGACGTTGATGGTGACGACGTTGATGGTGACGACGTTGATGGTGACGACGATGATGGTGACGACGATGACAGATGTCGACTGATGGATGTAACGTTGAGAGCGGTGATACGGGGGAGCAGGCACAAGGAGAGCCTGGACCATTTACCTGGGTTCGACTCCCCTGCCCAGGCGCCCAACAGCAGCATGGAGAGAATAACGCAGATCCCTCCTGTGCAGATTCAACAAACACACAGGCAGCAACACCGCGAGATGTACAGATTAGTGGGATGTGGACAGTCGGACAGTGGTGCATATGATTATCGTTCATCCTTGTCACATCGTCATCATCATCAAATTATTTTAAGCAGCAAATAGAACAGACGCAAGATCGCATGGTTATAATGACAAGAATCTACGCTTATAGTGAAACTTACTTATTTGATAGCCTCAAAAAAATCAAAGCTCCTTACATCACAATCTCATCTCAAGCATTCCAATTCTTTGCTGCAATGGAACCAAGAGAGGGGACCCCCCCCCCCCCCCCCAGTGGCAGCTGTCCATGTGTGGCACAAAATGAACACAGAACCGGCCTGTAATGGGAGTAATTAATTATCATTGAACTATTGAACAAAAACAGTCGCTGCATCGATCGCTTTCCGGTGCGAAAATAATTCAACATACATACAGTATATTTGTAACTAAATCATCATCATTATAACCACTGATTTGCTTCAACTGTCAAATAAAATGGATTTGCTCGTCTGGTTAACACCATCTCCTTGGCATTATATTCACATTTCAAATGCACACACAGGAGGATCTTGCTACGTATGCATGTTGAACTTCTTTCGCACCCTACGTAGTCAACCGTGTAAATATAGTTATGTTTCATAGGCAACCTGGCCACAAATGATAGCGCAACGAAGTGTCTATTCACGTGGAAATGAATGGCAGCGAAATACTCTAAATTCGCGATGTTCATTCTAAATGTGGAAGGAAAAACCGGAGGTACCTGGAGAAAAATCCATTCGACCACGGTGAGAAAGAGAGACACGCAAACTCCAAATATACAGCAGCAGGCGTCAGGGTCGGGATCGTACCCACGACCTCCTGCATACCAGGCGAGGTAGTTAACATCTCCTAGCCACCGTGATGATGATGAGAGAGACACGCAAACTTCAAATATACAGCAGCAGGCGTCAGGGTCGGGATCGTACCCACGACCTCCTGCATACCAGGCGAGGTAGTTAACATCTCCTAGCCACCGTGATGATGATGAGAGAGACACGCAAACTTCAAATATACAGCAGCAGGCGTCAGGGTCGGGATCGTACCCACGACCTCCTGCATACCAGGCGAGGTAGTTAACATCTCCTAGCCACCGTGGTTGCTGCTGCGTTGGCAGGGGTGCACAATTCGAGCCGACAATAAGAACGACACCAACTTTCTCTCTCTCCACGCGTTCTTCTTCCAAAGGGCGTTTTTAACGAATGTTGTTGCAGGGCTACGATATGGGCACGAGTTGGCAGCGCAGAAACATCCACTGTCACCCAGCGTCTGTTCTCCCCTCCTCCACCACCAACGCACACTGAACCAACATGTTCATGCATGGTCAGACACAACACATAGAGACCCATCGACTCACAAAGAAACCCATAGACTCACAAAGAGGTCCATACTCTTACATAGAGGCCCATATAATGAGATACCCATAGGCTCATATAGCAGCCCATAACCTTACAAAGAAGCTCATATCATAGACTCACATAGAGACCCATAGACTTGCATAGTGGTCCATAGACTTAGATATCCATAGACTACTCACCTCGAGACCCATAGCCTCATACAGAGACCCATAGATTACATAGTGGCCCATAGACTTCGAGACCCATAGACTCACCTAGAAACCCATAGACTCACATAGAGGCGCATAGCCGGGCATAGAGACCCATCGACATACCCAGAGACCTATTAGACTCACAATGGGTAAAGGAGCAGCGCTGAATTTCCCTGCTCACACCACTCCTGGAAGAAGGAACTCCGCTCGAGGATAGCTCTAGAGAGGCTGCTTTAGGCCTACTCTTCCACGCTGGCCAGTAAGTTAACAATTTACTGCACCGCACGAGATCTGCCAAAGGACTGAATGTGGATAACTATTAATTATGTTCGACCGGCTTTCGTTTATTAAACTATTTTAGTTGAAACCAAACAATTTTTATTTTACCAGGTAAGGTCCATTGAGCAATACGGCTTTTTTCCAGAAGCGACCTGCCCATAAATGATAAGTCAACGAAGTAGCGTATTACGTGTAAATGTATAGCAGCCAAATACCCTAAACGCGCGATATTGCTTATAAATATGGAGGGCGAAACCCGGAGGACCCGGAGAAAAATCCACGCGACCACGGGGAGAAAGAGACACGCAAACTCCAAATATACAGGTGTCAGGGCCGGGATCGAACCCACGACCTCCTGCATACCGGGCGAGGTAGTTAACATCTCACCACCGTGGCATAAAATCACACAGCCTCGAACGGTTAAGCAAACATCATCCCGTGCCCAACTTCTCCATCGGAGATCGAGTTACATATAATTTGGACAGATAAACAAATCGCCCGGTCTCATCCACACTGCGACGAGCCAACAACGCGACCCATCACCCCCCACTCGCCCCCTCCCTGATTCTTCCCTCCCGCGGATCCACATTCATCAGCATCTTTATTTCGACTGGAGGAATCCGACGGGCTACGAAGACTTGCTTAATCAAAGCAACGCGCGTAGAACTCGCGATTGTTGATCGGGTTCACTACCTTGTGTGAGCCCGCTGGAGACTAATCCTTGACCCCAGTGCCTTCGATCTCCTGCCGCTGTCCATCACTGCCGCTCTGAGTTCAAAAGAGAGTCCATCCCTCGTTTGCTCTTCTTCACCTCGTGGCCGGTCGGCCTCGATCGCTGCGGCAAGTAACGCCCCATAAACAAATACGCAGAAGAAGGAGACATCACTCCGCATATCTCCTGACGCCGTTTCTCCGGGCCTGACCAACTGAACGTGAAACTGGAGCCGTTGCTCTGCGTCTACGTCAGCAGCCGTACGACAGGAAGAAGAAGATCACTTCCAGTCCGCCCATGCTACTAAGAGGTTGTGAGTGGGGCAGTCGCTCCTACTAAGAGGCTGTGAGTGGAGCAGTCGCACCTACTAAGAGACTGTGAGTGGGAAGTCGACCCTTGCCGTTAGGTCCCGTGATTGAGCTCATCTGTTCCCGTAGCCGTCCGCGCTACTTTCAACGTCTTCCTCCAGCACGACATCTCAAAAGCATTCGCTCTTCCTCCCCTTTAGTGTATCCTTACTGACAAATTCCTGGCGACTGCCGGATGATGCCGGTTTGCATTTAGCAGCGTGAACGTCGTTCTACCCATGTGTTTAATGTGTGTGTGTGTTGTGGATCGTTGAACAACAACAGCAACAGCAGCAACATCAACAGCAACAACAACAACAACGACGACGCCACCGGTGTGGTGCTGATGAAGCAGTCCTACATTCGCACCTGCGTTTACCTGGCGACTTTATTGATCGGTTGCTTCGGGTGGAGGTGGGTTTAAGACACGCATTTAACGCATGTAACATCTCGTGTGTGAGTGTTGCGTGTGTGAGCGTCTTGTGTGTGTGTCGCGTGTGTGAGAGTCGCGTGTGTAAGTGTCGTGTGTGGAAGTGTCGCGTGTGTGAGATCGTATATGTGCGTGTAGCATGTGTGAGTGTCTTGTATGAGTGTCGCGTGTGTGAGTATCGAGAGAAATAAGCCAGAAAGAATCATTGAACTATCTCAGTCGAATGCATCGAGTCCGGACTCAGATAAAATTATCATCATCATCATCATCATCTGTTCATCACAATGTTGATGCTGCTGCTGCTGATGCTGCTTTTGTGGGGAGGAGGGGGGGGGGTCAAGATAACCAGTTCAGGCGGTTTAAACACCGCTCGACAACTGATGATTGTCGTGGCCGGGAATCGCACCTCAAGTCAACAGGTTCACTGCGCGTGGCGCTTTCCACTGCGCCACCGCTTGCACCCTCCCCGGCAATGCCGCACAGAGACTCGTCGTGCTCACGCCAATCAACGCTTTCTGTTACCTCGCCAGGAAAGCCTCCACTCGCGTCTCAAGACTAAATCACTCGCAAGGCTCCTGCGACGCCATCGGGATGATCGACCCACGACCGAGCAGTCGAGGACACGACGCTCGCGCGTGGAGGAGTGGCACTCGGCGTTGCGCACGGATAGATTCAAGAATTCCGTCTTGCGGCGATTTGCCACCTCGTGGGCAGCTCGCGGGCCTCTTACCCAAACGCCACGACAAATGAGCAACCAGGCCGCCCGTCCCCCACCCACACCCTCCCCAAAGAAACCCCCCGAATCTGCCGAGCTTCCCAAAATTCAAGAGGGGCATCGTGGGTGGCCCATTGGGGATGAATTCGTTTGGCAGCGACGCAGTTCGCATTCGAGACAGGAGTCGGTAAACAAAAATAAATATTTTTTTTCGGTTTCGAATCCGGTACTCGGCCACCACCAACAAGAACAACAACAACAAAATACATCGTTATTTCAAGAACCGCAATGGATGCGAATAACGTCACGCGCGCAGTTGTGAGCCGTACTGCGGCTCCCGAATCGCAGACGTCGACCAGCTGCAGTCCAGGCGATGACCGTGACCGTGATGGGTCATGCGATCATGTTCCCATCGCTCCAGCGAGACAAGAGTGCGTTGTGCAAAATCATGATGATGGATGTTGTGTTTCTGCTATTGCTGTACAGGAGGATGATGATGATGGTGGGTGCATGATGATGATGAGCGCGATAATGCTTCGCCGTTGTGTAGTGGTGAGCGCACTGCGCGCTACGAACCCGGCGACCCGAGTTCGATTCCTATTTCACGACCCGTGGCGAATGTTCGAACCGCTTCTGGGTCTCTCCTAGGGCGACTCGGCCTTCAATGAATACCCGTTGCGGTGTGTACATATCAGTACTGGAGAGATGAAGACGGCCGTGCGTGGTGTTAGCCACCATCCTCCTCATAGGTGCTCGCTAACAGCACTTTCCCCAAAAGCCTGCTAAAGTTTATACGGAGGGGGGGTCTTCATGATGATGACGCTCCCGCTGATGATGTTGTTGGTGATGACGCTGCTGTTTAGTTTATACTGCTGCTCGCAATGATGATGTCGATATCAATGATGTCACCTATGCTGCTGTTACCGATGAAAGCTTCTGCTGATGATGGTCGTTGCGCTGCTGTTATTGGTGCTGCTAGAGATGATGATGAATGTGGTGGTGGCGCTGATGCTACCGGTGCTGCTGCTACTGCTGCTGATAGCATAGCTGCTGCTGCTGCTGCTAGAGATGATGATGATGATGGAAGCGGTGATGTTAGTGGTGGTGACCGCGTGGCCGACATAACACTAACCTCGAAGCATCCTCGCGTCTTTGTTTTTCTTTCCACGGTCAAGTCTCGGTCCACAGCGTCGCCAAGTTTTCGGAGCGGTGTTCAATAAGTGTACCTTTCCGCATGCGTTGTGTGTGTGCGCGCGTGTGTGTGTGCGTCCTTGTCTGTTCACGTGTCGGTCTGGCAGGGCCCGTGGCTGGGCGGCGCTCCCCTGCACAGCTGTCGGCGTTCACGTGCCGGGGCTGTGTACGGTGACGCGCGCAGTTCCACCTGTGGGCCCGCCTCGAGTTTTTTGCGAAACAATTTGCGCGCTCCGGTACATTTATACCGAGGTGCCCTCTCCTCCCCCCTCTTCCCCCCGCTACTCTTCCTCCCTCTCCTCCGCCTACCACCCTCTCCTCCTCCCCCTCCTCCACCCTCTCCCCATCCCCCTCCTCCTCATCCCTCTCCTCCTCTCCTTTGTCCTCTTCCTTCCCTCCTCCCTCTCACCCTCCCTGCTTCCTCAGTCTCCTCTTCCTCCACGTCCACCTCCTCCTACTACGACTACCGCAACCTCTCCTCTTTATAATCCTCCACCTGCTCCCTCTCCTCCTCCTCTTCCTCCACGTCCACCTCTTCCTACGACTACCGCAACCTCTCCTCTTTATAATCCTCCACCTGCTCCCCTCTCCTGCTGCTCACTCCCCTCCACGTCCATCTCCTCCTCCTATCTCTCTGTCCCCACTCTCATTCTCCTCCTCGCTACACTCCTCCTGCCGCTCCTCTTCGTATCATCCTTCTCCTACCCCACCGCCTTTCTCATCCTCGACGTCTCCTTCTCACGCTCCATCTCAACCCCTCTCCTCTTCCCCCCCCCCCCCATTGCCTCTCCTCCCCGTCCACCTCCTCTACGCACTCCCATCATGGGCGAAATCCTCTCCCACCGACTTCGCTCACAGCCTTCACGAGCCGCTCTGAGGTCGCGGCGGCGAGGAGGGGTCGGTCATGGGGAGGGGGGGATTCGATGGGGGCCGACCGGGCGCGGCGTTTCCGTTTGGGGCGTGTGTCGACGTGTGTGTGTCGTATGTGTCAACGCGTGTGTGTGTGTCGACGTGTGTGTGTGTCGTGTGTGTGTGTGTGCGTGTGTCGTGTGTGTGTTGTGTGTGGGGAGCGGGGGTGTAGCGGTTAACGCGCTGCGCTATGAACCCGGCGACCCGGGTTCGATTCCCGCTCATGGCCAACACCCGGTGACGATTATCTGAACCGGTCCTGGGCCTCCCCTAGGTCGACTCAGCCTTAAATGAGCACCTGGGGCAGTGTGTAAACATCGCCACTGGTGAGACAAAGGCGGTCGGGCGTGGTGCTGGCCACCCACCTCCTCGTGTACATAGGTGCTCGCTAACAGCACTTGCCCCTACAGTCTGTTAAGGCTATACGGGGGATCTTTGTCTTTTTTGTCGTGTGTGTATGTGGGCTGTGTTAATGAGCGTGGGGAGTTGAAGTGAGGCGCGGTAGTGTAGCGGTTAGCGCGCTGCGCTACGAACCCGGCGACCCCAGTTTGATTCCCGCTCACGGCCAACACCCATGCAGTGACGATTATCTGAATCGGTTCATGGGCCTCCTTTAGGTCGACTCGGCCTCAAGTGTGTAAACATCGCCACTGGGGAGACAAAGGCGGCCGGGTGTGGTATTGGGCACCAACCCCCTTGTATGCCGTGCCGGCCTTCATATGTGCTCGCTAACAGCACTTGCCCCAACAGTCGTTTAAAGACTCTTACGGGGAATCTTTGTCTTTCCCGTTTGTGTCTGTGGTGTGTGTGTGGTGCGTGCGTGCGTGTGTGTTGTGTATGTGTGGTGTGTGTGTGTTTGTGGTGTATGTAGTGTGTGTGGTGTATGTAGTGTGTGTGTGTGTGGTGTATGTAGTGTGTGTGGTGTATGTAGTGTGTGGTGTATATGTGTGTGTGGTGCGTGTGTGTTGTGTATGTGTGGTGTGTGTGTGTGGTGTATGTGTGGTGTGTGTGTTTGTGGTGTATGTAGTGTGTGTGGTGTATGTAGTGTGTGTAGTGGGTGTGTATGTAGTGTGTGTGGTGTATGTAGTGTGTGGTGTATATGTGTGTGTGGTGCGTGTGTGTTGTGTATGTGTGGTGTGTGTGTGTGTGGTGTATGTGTGGTGTGTGTGTGTGGTGTATGTAGTGTGTGTAGTGGGTGTGTGTGGTGTGGGTGTGTGTGCAGGTCAACACAGCCTTCACAATCAGTACCTGGTGCGGTGTGTTTACATCAGCACAGGGGAGACAAAGGCGGCCACCCACCCCTTCATTGACTGCTGTCTAAAAACACCACTTGCCCCAACAGTCTGTGAAGGCTATACGTGGGGTGGTGGTGATGGTGGTGGTGAGATCTTTGTCTCAAGCACATCCACCTATGTGTATACCTAGGCATGTGAGTGTATGTAACCCACACACGTGTGTGTGTGCGCGTGTTTGCATTGTGACGTATAGCGGCGGGTGGGGGGGGGGTCAGCCACGCGCCACGCGCTATGGCCCATGGCGCAACTCGCCTTCGTCACCCGCTTGTCCAGCTATTGCGTGGACTCTTCCTCACTCTTTCATCATCACGCGCCGCTCCAGTGACCCGCAGCGATGTCCACGGTGCAAGCTCGGGAGCTTCCGTTCACACGGGGCTGAGCTCCGGAAAATATTTCAGGGGAGGGGGGTGTGGAGGGTGGCACAGGCGGTGCATCTGCCGGCAATCTCAGTGAGTCAGCCGACGGTACGTGCGGGTCCGTTCCGTGACCTCCTGCCAACAGCGGGTCTTTCACACATCGCGTAGTGGCCTCGCGGTGCACCTAGCCTGGCACACGCGCTTTTGTGACATCTCAGCCACCTAGTGGCAAACGGCGGAGAGACAAAGATGGCCGGGCGTGACGTTAGCCATCCAACCCTCTCGTGTGCCGTACCGGTCTTCATAGGTGCTCGCCACGGGCACTTTCCCCAACAATCTGTCCAGGCTACACGGGTGACCTTTGTGTGCGTGCCTCTTTCCATTGGCGCCCTGCGTCTCTCTTGAAGAGTGCAAACCCCACAGCGCCACCGCTCCCTGTTGATTCTACTGTAGTACAGGTTTCCCTCGCTTTGTGCGGTAGTAGGCGCGTTCCAAAGAAAGAGCGCACAAAGCGAAATCGCTTAGCCATGTCCCCCCCCCCGCCCCGCCCCTCCGTACGGTGCGAAAGAAGTTCAACATACGTACACGCGACACGATGTTGTGCCGCGTCCGACCGCATAGCCGGATGTCGAGAGAATTTTGGATGGAAATAGGTGAGCCGCGCACACGGCACGAGATCGCACAAACCGAACCCGCATAGGGCGAGGGAAACCTGTCGTGGGTTGTTGGAGTCGTCGTTATTTCTCCTCTGTGGATTTAATACTCTGCGTGCGTTTTGCTTTGTTAACCCCCGAAGAAGTGGCTAGGAGATGTTAACTACCTCGCCTGGTATACAGGAGGTCGTGGGTTCCATCCCGACCGTGACGATGCCTGCAGTTTGCGTGTTCTCACTGTGGTCGCGTGTAGTTTTTTCCCGGCGGCCTTCGGTTTTTCACCTCCACCGCATTCAGGAACGAGGTTGCGTTTAGAGTGTTTGGCTGCTATAAGTTACCACGAGGTAGACCACTTCGCTGAGCTCTCATTTGTGGACAGATCGCTTCTCCAATAAGATCGATATAGCTCAGTGGGCCTTGCCTGGTTAAAAATAAAATGTGTTTGTTAAATAGTAACAAACGTTGTTAAACAGTCAAAGACGCCGTTCGCACTCTGCCCATCTCACAATCTCGCTTTTCCACGTGCCCGCGTGTGCCAGGACACGTTCACGTCCGAACGCGGCGTCCAATTATCCAGAACACCTGGATCGCATCCTGGAAAATACCTGAACACCACTGAGTAAATTTAGTTCTTTTCCACCGTTTAAGGTCGATTGTTTTACATTCACGACAAATCACCGGATTGTCCCAACAGCGGCAGTCTCGACTTGCAATCCAGAGCGCGCCGGTTCGATTCCACGTCCCGGCGCGGCAGTTGAAATAAAAATTGCGGGAGAATTTTGACTTGAAACTTTCGTGACTGCAGGAATTAATAGTCTTGGTTCTTTCGGTAAAGTCACGTAGGTAGAAAAAAAAATGTAAAATAAAATAAAAATAATACCATACATTGAAAATAATAAACACAAAACAAACACGACGTTTCGATCGCAACACCAGCGGTCTTCATCTTCATCAGGCCTGATGAAGATGAAGACCGCATGAAAATTAAAATGTTACTTTTATTATTTTCAATTTAATGTTTTAAATTTATTATTTTATTTGTTATAATTTTTTTTCTATCTACGTGACTTTACCGAAAGAACCAAGGAAAATAGCCGGAGGTTTTTATAATATGTGGTGGGATGCAGTGTGGGTGCTCCAACCTCTCCCGCCAGCCTTTCTTAAAGTACATCTCTGGCGAGCTGCCAGTTGCTATAGTCAAGGGCACTCTCTCTTTATGATAAAGGGTTCAAGTTGGACGCAACTATAGAAGGCGGGACCCCCCCCCCCCCTGTAATCGACGCCCAGCGTGAATGAATACGCACACCCATCACCTCCCGTCCAGCGGCACACTTGTGAACAGAAGCCACCACGAACCCTTTTCACGTCATCCGATTCGTCGAGAAATTGACTCTCACCCCCTCTGGCCTCTCTATGTGGCATGGAGAAGGGCCGTTGCCCGAACCGTCGGATAGCCCAACTCCAGCAAGGTGTCCTATGTTAGATCCTGACTTAAAGCTTTCGTGACTGCAGGAATTCATGTTGTTTGGGTCTTTCGGTAAAGTCACGTAGATAGGTTCAAATAAAATAATAATAAAAAACAACAACAGAAAACTACGACGTTTCGATCGCAACGCAAACGGTCGTTTCCTGTTATTTGTTTTAATAATTTTCTTTGAACCTATCTACGTGACTTTACCGAAAGACCCAAATAATCTGTGGCCTATGTTGCGTAAAAAAACAATAAACACACACACGCGCGCAAACAGGTTCCAACTAAAGTGGCTTCCTTTATTCACAACACTCGCGTTTGTTGGCAGAGGCCGGGATGGCGGGTCTCTACAGCTCCCACGTGTCACTCTCTCTCGTCCGCCCTCACCGCACCGCAGTATGACGTGGGCTACGCCTAGGTAGACTCGGCCGTAACGAAAAAAACGGAAATGAGTCACGTAGTGCAGTGTGCAACGGCGTGATCAGTATCAATCACTCGGGGAGACAAAGGCGGACGGGCACACGTGGTCCTGGCTACCATCTCCCCCCGCGTGCCGTGCCGGCCTTCGAAGGTGCTACTCGCTAACAGCCACTTGCCCCAACAGTCTGTAAGGCTACACGGGGGATCTTTGTCTTTGTGAGCTTATTCGTGTTCCGGGTGCAGAAATATTTTCGTGGTGGTCGACTAAAATGAGCGGGTTAGCGCGCTGCGCTACGAACCCGGCGACCCGAGTTCGATTCCCGCTCACGGCCAACAACAGTGACGAATATCTGAATCGGCCACTGGGCGTTCCCTAGGTCGACTCAGCCTCAAATGAGTGCGTGGTGCGGTGTGTAAACATCGCCACTAGGGAGACAAAGGCGGTCGGACGTGGTGCTGGCCACCCACCCCCTCGTGTACCGTGCCGGCCTTCATAGGCGCTCGCCAACAGCACTTGCCCCTCCAGTTTGTTAAGGCTATATGGGGGACCTTCGTCTTTGTGCAAATCACTTTGCTCGATAACTCAGGCATGGCCTGCGGGCTAACACGTGGGAGGACGCAAATCAAAGAGGCATCCTGCCAGGCAGCCATCCAGAGAGCCACACGGGCACACCGCTAAAACCGCGGTAATCACGATTTTCACAAGTTTGCTCATAGCTGCGCTTTTGTCCACTCCGATGTCAATGTGGACGAGAGACGGGGCGAGGGCAGGAGGGCGGGCGTGGTGGGGAGGAGGAGGAGTACGGGGGCAGGTAGAGGAGGAAGAAGGCGACGAATATTTTGACCTGAAAGAGGCTCATGTCGAGAAGGGGGGAATGCAATCCAACAGCGCGTGGTCTTCTTACTTCCTGCGATGACTGCTGCTGCTGCTGCCGCATGCCGGAGTGGATGTGTGTTGATATCCTTACCCCCCCCCCGACCCAGCGCCCTACCTCCCAATTGCAACAATACGGGGCGTGATGCTGGTAACCGATCGTCATTATCGGCGGTCAATCCCTAGCACAGGACCGACCTGCCTGGAGAAGAAAAGTACAGGACGGTGCAGTCCTCTGTGAGAGTAGGAGACGCTCCTGTGCTATCTTGAAGAGGCAGCAGCGCAAATCTACCAAGGAAGGACGTGTGGCTGCACCTCAGAGCTCTCCATCCTCCCTGACCTGCTGTCCAGTGTGCCACAGGGAATTCCGGGCTCGGATTGGCCTCTTCAGCCATCTGCGCACTCATCAAAACCCAACAAAATGACAAACGTGCCATGGTCATCATCAACTTTGATGGACGAACAAGAAGAAGAAGATCGGCGGTCACTCGGGGGTCGAGTGTGGATCGTCCTCCTGGTGGGTGCCGTCTGTGGGGTCATCAGGTGGCTGAAGAGGTCGATTCGAGAGCCGCAGATTCTGCTGCAGCGTGGGGCAAGGGTATGTTGATGATGATGGTGGTGGTGGATGATGATGGTTGGGGCCTTATTGGTGGTAAGCCTCTGGGGCACGGCTGGTGACCCACACGCACACACACACACATATTTTTTTGAAGCCATCGGAAATTTGCATATTCGGTGAAGTCACTCCCCAGATTTTTGTGTCAACCGCGCTAACCGCACACCGGTGGAATCTCGGCAGGCCCGTTCACGCACACCACCCACCCACCCCGTTTCTCTCTTTCTCTCTCTGCCTCTTCACCGAGCGTCGTGGAGCCCAACCATTCCGCCCTGGCCGGATCTCATTAATCCCCTCTGAGCAAAGCATCCGGAATGCGCACTCCCGCGATCTCGTCGCGTGCGATCGCGGAATCCAGGAAGGTGTTGAGCCTGGGCCGGGTTGATGCGTTACTGCTGCTGGTGGTGAGCTGTGGTGGTGGTGGTGATGGTGGTGGTGGTGGTGAGCTGTGGTGGTGGTGGTGGTAGTGGTGGTGATGGTGGTGGTGGTGAGCGGTGGTGGTGGTGAGCTGTGGTGGTGCTGGTGGTGGTGAGCTGTGGTGGTGGTGAGCTGTGGAGGTGGTGGTGAGCGGTGGTGGTGAGCAGTGGTGGTGGTGAGCGGTGGTGGTGAGCTGTGGGCGAGGGGAAGGAGGCGAGGGTGACAAGCGGGCCCAGCTTCTCCGGGCCCCCACACAAAACAGGGCCCCTCACAGCAAAGAGATCGGGGGGGGGGGGGGTGTCACGTGGGGTTCCGCCTCTGGTCCCCACGAGGAGCCCCTCCCTGTGCGCCCTGCCAGGGCGTGTAACGTGAGAGAGAGCGAGCACCTAGTGGGGGATAGAGGGCGATTGAAGCGACCCCAGAATTAGTTCTGTGATACTCTTTGGTTCTGTCGATGAAGCCACGTAGTTAGAAATTAAATGAAATTAACTACGACGTTTCGATCGCAACACAAGCGGTCGTCATCCTTCGCCTGATGACGACCGCTTGTGTTGCGATCGAAACGTCGTGATTTATTTTATTTCATTTCTAACCACGTGACTTTACACACGCAAGAACCACAGAGCACGGATTCCTGCAGTCACGAAACTTCATATCAAGATTGTTCTGTGATGTCATTTTCCGCTGAGAACTCTAAAAACACATTCCTGCGGAGGGAGCTGGTAGGAACGTTGGGTTGCTCGGTCAATGGCCAGGGTCAACGGCGGCGTGGTGTATTCCGCAAATATGGCCGACTGTGAGGGCGGGCATAAGCCGGCGTGAGTAGGTTAAACGTTGAGTTTTATAAGGGCACCACGGGGTGACCAGCCCCTCCCCACCCAGCCCCACCCCTCCCACCCCCCACCCAGCCCCACCCTCCCCACCCAGCCCCTCCCCACCGTCTCCTCCCCACCCAGCCCCACCCCTCCCATTTTTGGATGCACGACGGACGGACGGACACAATAATCCCCTGTGGACTGGTGGAACCAGGTGGTTCCTACCAGTATAATGCGCTTTACGGTGCGGCTATCGACGATGTTGATTGGAATAACCGCAACGACATCGCACCTCACGATGACAGGGCAACCGACCCACAGCCGCATTCATGGAAACGATAACATCGCGGTCGAATATTTACGGGCAAATATTCCGGGAGCAGTAATAATAATAGTCGTACAAAAAAATTCTGTTTATTGTAAAAACAGGACCGTAGCTTATAAACTGTGGCAAAAACACGCGGGCAGTCGAGAGACGCGCCTGGTGTGCATTGCGCCATGCAAGCGAACACACCCGGGCGGCGCCGCGTGATGCAGATTCCACATTACAAAACGTTACCACATCGCAAGCCTTCTTACCTCATGCCACGTGTGGCCCTGGTGGGTGGCGGTGAGGGTGGGTGGGTGGGTGGGCAGTGGAGTGGTTGATGAACTCGTGTGACACGGCCACTGCCACCGCCACCACCACCACCACTCACCCAAATCATCATACACCGGAACCACTCACCACTCACCACCACCAAAGCCAAAGGTCCCCCCGTATAGCCTTACCAGACTGTTGGGGCAAGTGTTGTTCGCGAGCACCACCACCATCACCACGATCACGGGCATGGTTTAAAACGGGGAATAATACACGTGTCGTCGTGACCACGGTGGTGGTAGTGGTGGTGGATTTGTAGAGTGTTGGTGAGTGACGTGGTGTCTGATGGTGGTGAGTGGTGATGATATGTATGTTGAACTTCTTTCGCACCATACTCATCCAACCGTGCTCATGGGAGGTGCGGGTGGTGGTGGTGGTGGTGGTTGATGTGGATTGGTAGTGTAGCGGTTAGCGCGCTGCGCTATGAACCCAGCGACCCGGGTTCGATTCCCGCTCACGGCTAACAACCAGTGACGATTATCTGAACCGGTCATGGGCCTCCCCTAGGTCGTCTCAGCATCAAATGAGTACCTGGTACGATGTGTAAACATCGCCACTGTGGAGACAAAGGCGGTCGGGCGTGGTGCTGGCCACCCAACCCTCGTGTACCGTACCGGCCTTCATAGGTGCTCGCTAACAGGTCACCCCGTGGTGCCCTTATAAAACTCAACGTTTAACCTACTCACGCCGGCTTGTGCCCGCCCTCACAGTCGGCCGTATTTGCGGAATACACCACGCCGCCGTTGACCCTGGCCATTGACTGAGCAACCCAACGTTCCTACCAGCTCCCTCCGCAAGAATGTGTTAATCAAAATTAAGGTTACAAATGTAACCCTGCAGATTGTTACATCTGCTAGAGGAGAGCCGTTTGTCATTGCGCGGGGTTGGCTTTCCTGACGGCAGTAAGATGTGCAGCGTGGAACACACGTACAGCATAAGATAAACGTTAAATAAAGCATTGACATGTATGAGCCTTCTGCCAATCCACTGCTGGATCATCGTGTCGGTCATACTTGACCGCTCGGTGCGAGCATAAGACTCATACGGCACAGATGTGTTTACTACGCTGCCCTCTCTGCTGCCCGCCACATAGCAGAGCCCCGCGGGCAGCCGATAGCGACCGGGTCGCTCATGTTGGTCGCCCATCCGAGAACAATCCAGGCTCATTCATCTGCTTCGGCTTCCGAGACTTGTCGTGATCGGGCACGCATTCCGGGTGATTTGGTCACGTTTTAAATAAAATAAAAATTGTTTTTAATCAGGCTGGAAATCCTTTACGCCTTCGTCATTACTCAGTGTTGCCTATACGCCCGAAACGTCGACTATTTAATATTTTTCTATTTAAAGCTTTCGTGACTGCAGGGATTCATCTTCTTGGTTCTTTCGGTAAAGTCACGTGGAAGGGAAATAGTAAAATAGTCAAAAATAAAACATTCAATAATATAAAAATATAATAATATATTTTTTTATTATGTTTTATTTTTATTATTTTATTATTTAATATTTGTTTTTACTGTTACGGCCACACACGGTGTTATCGAGGATTGTGTTGAGCTTCGTTGATGTTGTTATTTTTCGCTTGCGCACGACTGCCGACCAACGCGGCTACCACCTTAATGATTAGTTGAACGTCGACACAAAAATAATAATGCTTCTGGTAATGGCTCTCACTCAGAGACAGATGCGGCGACAGAGTGGCCGTGGACGGGGAAAGGAAGACGATTTGTGGCTTTGAGATGGTGAAGAATGAGCATGGGACGCAATTGAACGCCACGGAGATTTCAAGGCAGAGATGATGGAGATGCAGTGCATTGATGATGATGATGATCATTAAGATAGTTGATGATGGGATTGGAGTAGGAGACGCGATTTTTTAGTGAAATGTATTGACAATAACGATGACGATATGATGATGATCAGAAAATCATGATGATCAGCAGATCATAATGATGATTGTATATAGGCAGGGGAAACATAAGTATGGTGTTTATACGTAGATTGAAATACAATAAGGATGATGAGAGTGAGATGATGAAGATGGTGATCAAATATGCTGATGATGATGATGGAGAGAGGTGACCGATAAAGTATGTAATCGATATAATGAAGTGTATTAATGATGCTGATGATGATAATGACGACGTGCTGATAGAGAATTGGTGATCGTAGTAATGATTGCAAAGTAGGATAAAGAGGAAGCTGATTGTTTACAAAACGAAATGCACCGTTGTTGATGATGATTACGATGTGAGGATGCCGTTGTTAAAATCATTATTCTACCAATGATTGTCTTGATGGTTTCACGGTAATAATGACAACATGATCATGATGATGTTGTTGTTGATCATAGCAGGAGTGGCCACACATTCATACTCATCCATCACATCCACCACTGAGTCCAGGTGCTCGGTGTAAGAGGCACAACATCACGATCACTCGCTACCCGCACAACCGTTACTCGCGTGGGAGCGGGTGGAGTGGCGCGAGACTGGGTAGAGTTGCCTGCGACTTTGAGTGGAGTTGCGTGCGAACGTGGGTGATGTCGCGCGAATCCGTGGAGTTGAGCGAGACCGTGGGTGGAGTTGCCTGCGACTTTGAGTGGAGTTGCGTGCGACCGTGAGTGATGTCGCGCGAAACCGTGAAGTTGAGCGAGACCGTGGATGGAGTTGCCTGCGACCGTGAGTCAAGTCGCGTGCGACTGTGGCTTGAGTTGGCTCCTATACGAGATCGTGCGAGCGTGCGACGGCGTGTGAGACGAGTCCGGGCGCCGTGAGTCCGTCCCTCGAGAGAGACTCGCGGTAACCTCGACCTCCTCGCTTCCACCTGCGGATACGGGAGGGACAGACGTCGTACCGACGTCGAACCCGGGCTCTCTCCCATCGCCAAAGCCATCCTTATTACTCTGTCGATTATCGCTTCGATCGCTCGACCGTTCGGGCGACGCGAAATTAACCGGCCGTGGAAGGACGTCTCGTCTGAGTTCCCACGTGTTGCCGCTGGACGCGAAGTGATGGAAGGGGCTTGATGTTGTGCCGCGTGGATAACCATGTGTGTATATATAATATTATTTAATATATATACGACGACACGAGTAACAATCGTGATTGGGTGGTTGACTCAGATCCCCCACCTGCCCCTCCATAGGAATGTGGAATTTCCACCACTGGCTCTAGAGGGCTGTATACTGGATAGTAAAAAACAGTGGCTCGATGCTCGATTGAAATCGGTTTTCACTTGTTGCTCAGAAAAAATATATAGTAAGCTTGGTATTTGGAGAACACGTATAATTGAGAAAAATAATTACTGCTCCGCTTATTTTTACCGAAAAAAGCCTCACTGAGTCTCAAGACTCGCTCTCAGGAGGGTCCTGCCAGGTGTCAACAGTAGTAGCAATATCGCTGCTGATGTTGTTGCTATGGCGCCACAGTGGCTATGAGATGTTAACTACCTCGCCTGGTATACAGGAGGTCGTGGAGTTCGATCCCGACCCTGACATCTTGCGTATACGTGGTTAATGCAGACAGGATTCCTTGCAAAAGATTTCAGTTTGGTGTTTTAACATCTTAACACAACTGTGTTATTGCCAGAAAGAGTTAAAACCTATTATTATATTTCGGAGGTCCTGATGGTGCATTGTCTTTGTGATATTCGCATTTTGGCGTCTTCTGGTCTGACACTGTTTAAGACTAGGCTTTAAAGAAAGCTGTCTCTGGTGTGGACCAATCAGCTTCAAAGACAATGCATATACAATCAGCATGTTTTTTTTTGTTTGCATGTTCACCACAAGTCCATGTGGTTAATTCAGACACGATTCCTTGCAAAAGGTTTCAGTTTAGTGTTTTAACATCTTAACACAACTGTGTTATTGCCAGAAAGAGTAAAACCTATTATTATGCATATTGAAGTTTGCATATCCCAGTGGTCGCGTGGATTTTTCTCCGGGTCCTCCGGTGTTTCCCTCCACTTTTAGAAACACGTCTTTAGAGTATTTGTCTGCTATAAATGTCCACGTGATAATCCACTTCGTTGAGCTACCGTTTGTGGCCAGGTCGCTTCTGAAAAAGAGCTACACAGCTCAGTGGTAAAATATAAAATTTGTTTAAGATGTTTTAGTTTTAACTCACGCGATCTGACCAGCAGGCCTATTATGAGCGCTGTTTGTTGCTGGTCTCATTGCTTGTTTACTTTTAGTGTAATCCCAAACGAATAATTCGCAAGCAATTATTCAGCCCGTACAGAGCAGGGGGAGAGAATACAAACTCCACGCGTAGAAAGTGCCCAAGTTGAGAGTGGAACCCAGGACCCTTCTTGCTGCGGGGCAAGCGTGTTACCACTGCGTAGTCACCACCCTGCCCTCCTCTGGTATCGATGATCGATGGATCAATACCCCCCTATTCTCAAACCTCCCCCTCGCCCTCCCTTCGTCCCCCCTACCCCCCCTCCCCACGTCACCCCGCCCGTCACCCCCGCTCGTCACATCCCACACCCCAAACTCGTCACCCCACTCCCCCCAGTCACCCCCCCCCACCTCCGTCACCCCTCCCCGTCAGCCCCCCCCACCGCCGTCACCCCCCCCTTATCCCCCCGTCACCCCCCCCCCCCATACCACGTGAACGCGAGGCAGCCTATGGCCCCGACGAGCGCCAGGGCGAGGGACGCGAGGCCGACTCCGAGCGGCAGCGAGCCGAGTCCCGGCTCCCGCTCCGAGGATGATGTGAATTCCAGGTAGAAGAGACAACGCTCCCCGCTGAAGTGGTCGTGACACCTGGCGAAGGAGGAGATGGCACCGGGTTGAACGGGGGGGATGGGGTAGGGGCAAAGGGGTGGTTGACTCAGTAAGTGGACAAGTGAGTGAATGAGTGGGTGCGTGAGTGTGACGATGAATTGATGGGTGGTGGTGATGGATGAGTGTTGAACTTCTTTTGCACCGTGCGTGGCGTGGGTCGTTGTGTGGATGAGCGGACCGGACTCAACAGGTAAGGCCCGCCGAGCTACAAAGCTGTTTTTCAGAAGCCACAAATGAGAGTTCAAGGAGGTGGCTTAGGAGCCGTCCATAAATGACGTCACGCACCTATAGGGAGTGGTGTCAGACATTTGTGACGATGTGTGACGAGGGGGGGGGGGGTTGAGAAATGTGACGTCACATCAAAATGCGCAACTTTAAATAAATATAGACAACACGTTCTACTTAATTAAATATACTTTTTAAAAAATGTTTTCTCCTACGACATCAGAGTGCAGCGCCACATTAAATACGCACTACAATGACAATAGTGGAAAGCGATTTGAAGCATGTTTTTTTTTGGGGGGGGGCAGTGCTTTGTGACGTCATATTTGAGGGCGGGGGGCTGACTTTTTGTGACGCCGTGTGACGAGGGAGGGGGGGGTCAAAAATCGTCCAAAATCGCGTGACGTCATTTATGGACGGCCCCTTATCATGTAGAAATATACAGCGGCCACATCCTCTAAACGCGTGTTTCTCAATGTGGAGAACCCGGAGAAAAATCCACGCGACCGCGGAGAGAGACACTCAGACTCCAAATATATAGCAGCAGCGGGCGTCAGGGTCGGGATCGAACCCACGGACCTCCTGCACGCCAGGCGAGGCAGTTAACATCTCGCCACCGCGTCGCCTCTGAGTGCATGTGTGGCTAGGTGAGTGAATGTGTGAGTAGCTGAGTGCATGAGTAGTGGAGTGGTCGCATGAGTGAGATAATCTGGCCACGGGAGAAGAGTTAGATAGGAGACACGGCGGTGGGGGGATAGGGGAAGCAAGCGAAGAGGGAGCGGTGATCGGACGAATGAGCGAGCTGAGTGGTTCCACGGATGACTTTTCAGAAATTAACATTCGGTGGCTACGCTGCATTGATGAGTTCTAATGAGGGCGAAGTCGGTCCACTGTTTTGTTTGAAATCTCCGCATCGCTGCCGCCTGCCAAGAGTCTGGTCTCACGTAAGGCACCCACAGTGAGCGTGTTGCTGCTGTTCGCACATTGTTGTTTGTGTGTTGATGTTACCATTGTGTGTTTTTTTTATTGAAACTGAGCGATTCCATAGGCCGTGTGGGTATCCGGGCATGAGATGGGCGAGGGTGTTGGACCGGCAGACGAGCAGCAGGGTGGGACAGAGTGGATGTGGAGGAGGCGGTGAGTGGGTAGGTTGGGTGAATCGGCCGCCCAGTGGCTCGCTCAGCTGCTGAATTGGCTTCCGCTGGCCGAACGAAGAGCGTTGCGAGGTCGCTACTCATTGCACGCGACAAAGCGCGTGCCACAAATCGACCGCAGATACCTCGCTGCTGATTTCGTCGAGGGGCATTGACCATCACGCAAATTCCGGTCATCCGCGGTAGAGGCATTTGGCTCAGCCATCACCACCATGCGCTTCTGCGGCCGTCTGGAACGCTCTTCCCTCCCGATATATGGAAGCGACTGGAGCTATGCACTTCTAAAACGTCTATATTGACACAACTCATTTATGTAGAACTGCACCTCCGATGAGCACGGTTGGCTACGTACGGCGCGAAAGAAGTTCAACGGACGTTTCACAGCCACGGGTTGCGAGATGAGGGGCGAGTTAAGTTGGGGGAGATTCGATTTGGGGAGGGGGGTCGGATAGCGGGTGGTAGGTAATTGGCAGAGAGGAAGAGGAAGAGAGGGAGGTGAGGGAGGTGAGGGAAGTGAGGGAGGGAGGTGAGAGAAGGAGGAGAGCAGAGCGTGAAATCTTTGGTGAAATCTTTCATTTAAAAGGGGGGGGGGGCACGTAAAGCAAAGCATTGAAAAAAACACTAAAAAAACGAAATGATGAACGAAGCTAAGTGCCTACTACACCGAGCATCTTCTTGTTTCCTCTGATCGTAAAAAAATTAGGGAGGAAGGGAAGTAAGGGAGGGAAGTGAGAGAAGGAGGGAGGTGAGGGAGAGGACGGAGGGAAGTGAGAGAGGAAGGGAGGGAGGTAGGGAGGGAGGTGAGGGATGGAGGTGAGGGATGGAGGTGAGGGAGGAGGTGAGGGAGGGAGGGAGGTGAGGGAGGGAGGTGAAGGAGGGAGGTGAGGGAGGTGAAGAGAGGGAAAGGAGGGAGGGAGGGAGGTGAGGGAGGGAGGGAAGTGAAGGAAGGAGGTGAGGGAGGTGAGAGAGGGAGGAAGGGAGGTGAAGGAGGGAGGTGAGGGAGGTGAGAGAGGGAGAGGAGGGAGGGAGGGAGGTGAGAGAGGGAGGAAGGGAGGGGAGGTGGATGAGTGAGCTGAGCGGTTGCAGGCCACGTGTACCGGCACGTTGCCTCGTGGCGAGCGATGAGACGACACTCCCCATTGACGCAGTAGCCCTCGAACTCCGGCGGGCACGCAACGCCGTGCTGAACGCCGTCCACGCTATTGGCATCTGTGTCACGCGCGCGACAATCACGCGATCAAATTTCGATTTAAAGCTTTCGTGACTGCAAGGATTAATCTTCTTGCATGAGCCACAGACCTGCACCTCGCCCAGTTCACCTCTCCTGCACCAGCAGGAGAAGTGAAAGATGCCGATCCCAGCTCCAATTGGGACGTTTGCAACTGTCTGAGCGTATCTTCCTGGTTCTTTCGGTAAAGTCACGTAGAAGGGAAATAATAAAATAATAAAAATAAAACATCGTAAAATTATTCTCACGACGTTTCGGCTGCTGCTTGCGTTGTGGCCGAAACGTCGTGAGAATTATTGTATTATGTTTTATTTTTATTATTTTATAATTTCCCTTCTACGTGACTTTACCGAAAGAACCAAGAAGAAGAATCACGCGTTCGTCAATTCACCTGCGTGTGAGTTCACTGTGAGATCGAGAGAGAGAGTGCCTGGGAGCGTGAGGAGGATGTGGTATATTTTTTGAGAGTGTGTGTCTGAGAAAGTGTGCGGGAGTGAGGAGTATGATAATGATAATTGTTTTTTTACCCTTTTATCTGGCAACAAAACTGACACCTTTTTTTACAAGGAGTCATGTTTGCATTGACCTATAATACCTGCGGTCGGAATGCAAAAAAAACACAACTCTGATAATGTATGCACTGTCTTTTTGGCGTCTTCTGGTCCAACACCATGTGAGACTAGGCTCTAAGAAAAGCTGTCTCGGGTGTGGACCAATCAATTTCAAGGACAGTGCATACATTATCAGAGTTTTGTTTTTTGTTTGCATTCCGACCGCAGGTATTGTGGTCATTGCAAACATGACTCCTTGTAAAAAAAATAAGGTGTCAGTTTTGTTGCCAGATAAAAGTGTAAAAAAAACCATTATCATATTTTGCTACTGGCAAATGAGGTTCCAATGGAGTTTGATCATGTATGATAATGTGAGTGTGAGAATCTGTGAGCGTGCGTAGAGTCGAGCCGCCCCAATCCCTCGCTTGCCGTGCCGGCCTTCATAGGCGTTCGCTAACAGCACTTGCCCCAAACAGTCTGTTAAGGCTACAAGGGGGATCTTTGTCTTTGTTAATGAGTGTGAGTGATTTGCGAGTGAGATGAGCGTAATTATGAGTGACTGTGAGTCATTGCGAACGTGCTTGTGACTGAGATTTGTGAGTGAGTGAGTGTGAGATTTGTGAGTGTGTCTGAGATTTGTGAGTGTGTCTGAGATTTGTGAGTGAATGTATCTGAAATTTCTGAGTGAATGTGACTGATATTTGTGAGTGAGTGTGTCTGAGATTTCTGAGTGAGTGTGAGATTTGTGAGTGTGACTGAAATTTGTGAGTGTCACTGAGATTTGTGAGTGTGACCGAGATTTGTGAGTGAGTGAGACTGAGATTTGTGAGTGAGTGTGTCTGAGATTTGTGAGTGAGTGAGACTGAGATTTGTGAGTGAGTGTGTCTGAGATTTCTGAGTGAATGTGAGATTTGTGAGTGTGACTAAAATTTGTGAGTGTCACTGAGATTTGTGAGTGTGACTAAAATTTGTGAGTGTCACTGAGATTTGTGAGTGAGTGAGTGAGACCGAGATTTGTGAGTGAGTGTGACTGAGATTTGTCAGTGCGAGTGAGTGAGTGTGATGCGTGAGTAATTGCGCGCGCGCGTTATGAACGATTGTTAGTGCGTGCGAGTGAGCTATTGCGAGTGATTGGTGTGTGCGAGTGTGTGATGTGAATTTGTCAAGATAAATAAATATATATATTAACTAAATAATTAATAAAAGGCGCTCATAACACAGGAGCACGCGACGGCACCGCAAGCACGCGAGGAAGCCCCGCGGCTCGGATCAAAGGCGCGTGCACGTGCGTGAACGCGCGACCCGTTCTGGGCCTCCCCTAGGTCGTCTCAGCCTCAAATGAGTACCCGGCGCGGTGTCTAAAAAAAATTAAACATTGCCACTCGGGAGACAAAGGCGGCCGGGCGTGGCGCTGGCCACCCACCCCCGCAACTCGTGTGTGCCGTACCGGCCTTCATAGGCGCTCACTAACAGCGCTTGACTCCAACAGCCTGTTACAGGCTATACGGGGGGATCTTCGTCTGTGTACGTTAGTGGGGATACTCTCTGTTCCAGCTACTCCCCTCCGGCAGAAGGCTGCGGTCCATCAAGACCAAAACCTCACGTCATAAAAACAGTTTTTTCCCATCCGCTGTTGGCCTCCTCAACAAGGCCAAGGGCTTAAAATGACTTTTACACTTAAAATGACTGTTACACTTACTATAACATTTTATCTACATAATTACACCGTTCCATACTTACAACGTGTAAACTTATTTGTATTTTTGTATTTTAAGATTGTTTAATACGGCTAACTAACATTTTACATTCGCATTTTATAAGGTCTATTTATTCATAATTTTAAAGATTTTAGCCCTTTAGTATTACTTATACTTTGTAACGTTAGTATAATTAGAGTGTATACCTTTTATATAAGTTAAGATTCCTACTTGTTCAATGTATGCACCGTCCCGCCATAGTGAATTCCTTGTTTGTGCAAACTTACATGGCGATTAAAACCGTTTCTGATTCTGATTCGGTGCTGCGCTACGAACCCTGCTTATCGCCAGCGAACATCCTGGACGAATATCCGAACTGTTCCTGGGCCTCACCTAGGTCGATTCAGCCTTAAATGGGTGTGGTGTATTAACATCGACACTGGGAAGACAAAGACCTGGCGGTGGCCACCCATCTCCTCGTGTGCCGTGCCGGCCTTCATAGGTGCACACTCACAGAACTTTCTCCAGAAGAGGCTATATGGGGGATCTTTGTCTCTGTGCGTCCGGGAATCTTTGACACGTCACACGGCCTCAAAGTGCACCTAGGCTGGCACACGCTCTGTGGTGACGGACGTCGGATGTTGTTGTGCGGGAGCGGGGGCGCATCGATTCTGGCACTGCACTACAATTACCCGCGTGCTGGGTTCGATTCCTGGCCGCGGGAATACATATTCGAACACATTGCAGGATCTATGCAAGGAACACTTGTGTCTAACCTTACCATTTCACCTGTCCTGTTTGACTAAAAATCATAGCGTCTCTCTATTCAAATCAGGTGTTCGTCTCCAGAGTGGGCCGTGAACCATTGGTTGGACATTCCACATTCCTCTGACAGAATTCGGTCTACTCTGTAAAATGTCTCACCTGATAATTCTGCGTCTGTCAACCGGAGCACCTGGAGTAAGACTGCAACACGAGAGAGACAACGGGAGGTAATTCATCATCATCATTAGCAGCAGAATTGACGCCACGATCATCAGCAGCAAAGGCACCATCATCATCAGCATCATCGACATTGCCATCAGCAGCAGTAGCATCACCCATTAGCGTCGACCGCAGAACTTTGCTCATCATCATCATCAGCAGCAGCATAATTTACATCACCATCAGCAGAAGCACCATCATCATCATCATAATGGGGCAATATCTATCCACTGCTGGATGAAGAACTTGAAGTATGTTCTTTACAGACTTTTACTCCAAGCATGTTTGAAATATGCCTTCATACCTTTGTAAACCTTCCGCCGTCTTTGCCCACTCTACGCATTCAGCGCCGTGCCAAGGGGTGACAGCGAATCGGGGCGAACGCCCCGGGCCCCGCGTTTTGGGGGGGGGGGGGGCAAGTCACGGGTGTACACAAAGTGGCATGGGAGGGTCCACCGTGTAAAAGTTGCCCCGGGGCCCCCGGCACCACGCTATGGACGGACCCTATACGCAATTGTGTACCCTATGCGATTTCATGACATAACCAACACGACATACCCGATATAAACGCGGCTAGGTTTGTAAAACCCACCGACATCCAGGTGGCTCAGAGGTAGAGCGATCGGCTCGCAATCAGAAGGCAGCGAGTTGGGGGGGCGGAGGGGTTGACTCAGTCCATCATCTCTCCAGGGTCGATAAAATAGGCGCCGCGTTGTTGGGGGGAAGTCAACAGTGTTCGTCCGATTTTAGACTCGCGCCCGCCCATAGGAATGTGGAATTTCCATCCCTAGCTCAGGGCTGTAAACGGGATTTGAGCACCAGTGCCTCAATGCTCATTTCAGCAGAACGTCATTTGAAATCACGTTAATACGCGGTTCGATACAAATATTACAAGCCTGGTAATTAATCGGAATAAATTACGTATTCGTAGCAACCAGGGTTTACTTTCATCGCGGTAATGTCCAGTCTGGACCAGAAAATAAATATTTCCCCACCCGGCACACCACATCCAGTATATGCATCACTACGGCTCTGGCCACATTGATCCACCAAAGACCCGGAAAATATCCATGTGCTTTAGCCACCCGGCGCTCTGCTCATTGTTGTGAGCGTCGCTCCTCCGCCCTCCATTCTTGTTGGAGGGCGACTGCCTCCAACTGCCCAGTAGCAGCGTCCTTCACGAGCCTCCTCCACAGAGGCCTATCTTGACACCACTGGTACAAGTCATCGGCAAGTCCACTCAGCTCCACATCCTCCTGTACCACATCACTCCATGTCTTCTTTAACCCGTTTAGCCCCCTCGATCCGGCCAAACAAAAGGTGTTTAGGCATGCAGTGACTTGGCATGCGGGCTACATGACCCAGCCAACGCAGCCTTGCCTGCCGGAGGAGCTCACCGATGAAACTTTGTCCAGATCTTTCACGGATTTGTGAGCTCCTCACACAATCCAGCCTGGTTAAACCCAGGATGGATCGTAGGCAGGCCAGCCGAAATGTTTCTAACCGGTGAAGATGTTCCATTAGGGGGGTCCTCGTGTCGCAAGCGTAGAGAAGGGAGGGAATGATTGTGGCTGAGAAGACCTGAAGCTTCGTGCGGAGCGACAGACCAGGTAGCTTCTACACAGGGTTACACAACCGATGAAAAGATAATGCCGCTGGACTGATTCGGAGTGAGACCTCTGCTGTCAAACCGGAGCCGATCATGAGCACACTGCCCAGGTATAAGAAACTCTCCACTCTCTCCACAACTGCCCCATCACCATTTGGGACTTGTGGGGGTGGAGTGTCCGATGGTACAAAATACCCAAGCAGGTGCTTAGTCTTGGTGGGGCTGATTATAAGGCCCCACCTCTGAGTGGCAAGCTCCAGGTTCAACAGCAGTGCCTCCAACTCCTCCACTGAGTGAGCAGCAATTACCAGATTATCATGGTTGAGCAATAGGGAGCTATCCCTTGACCCCACCCGGGCATTGATCAGCCTCCCATTATATCTGTACCCAATGGAAATTCATCCGGTACAGCTATTGAAGACTTCAAAAACTACGTGGTCGAAAAAAATGTTAAATAATGTGGGAGCCAGAGGACATCCCTGTCGCACCCCAAGGTGTACAGGGAATAGCTCCGACTCCCGGCCAGATAGTTTTACCCAGGACCGCTCACCATCATGAAGGTCCTTAATGATCGTGAGCATAGGGTCAGGGAATTCGAAATCATGCAGAACAACCCAGAGCCCAGGCCTACTGATGATATCATAGGCCTTGACCAGGTCAATAAAGCATAGATGTAGGTCTTGTTGGAATTCCCTACACCTCTGCTGTAGCAGACGGATAGAAAATATGGCATCTGTGCAGGACCGCCCTTTCCTGAAACCGCATTAGGGCTCTGTAAGCCTCTCCTCTGCATGCCTAGCAAGGCGATGTTGAATAATCCTTGCCAGAACCTTTCCCGTGACACACTGAGGAGTGAGATGCTCCTGTAGTTGTTAAGTCTGTGCGGTCCCCCTTCTTAAAGAGGGGGACCACCAGGGCATCCTTCCAATCCTGCGGAACCCGTCCAGTGGTCAGGACTGTTGTTATGATGTCATGTAGGAAATTTTGTGCACAAACGCCACCCTCCCTCAGCATTTCCCTTGGGAGATCATCTCTGCCCGGTGCCTTTCCTGGTCTCAAACTCCGAATCACCTTCAGTACTTCCTCAACAGATGGCACTTCAGCCAGCCACTCACAGGGGGTGACTTCTTCCAATATTTGAGGCACCGCAGCTTCAGCAGGTTTTTCCCCACTTTGCCCCACATTGTTTTCCAGGCTGAAGGATTTCCTCTCCCCCAGTAACTCACATAAATGCTCAGCAAATCTGCAAACCTGTTCCTGGGGGTCGAAGATTGGATCACCGTTCTTTCCCCTAATGGTGGTAATAGGTATGGCGCTGCAGGTTACTTTTTTGATGGAGTTAAAGAGCGATTTGTGATCGCAGGCCATTGAGGCAGACTCCAATTCCTCAGCAACCCGCGACCACCACCCATCCTTGCAGCACCTCACGGCTCTCCAAACCTCCGAGCAAAGGCTGCAGTAAGCCTTCTCATTCTCTGACGTGGGATGCTGTAGCTGATGAGAGTGGGCCTGTCGCTTCTTCTCAGCCACCTGAACACCTCCTCTGTCAGCCAGGGTTTCTGGGGAGGTCTGGACTGTGTACCCAAAGAAGCCATTGCAGTGCATGAGCCACAGTCCTAAATCTCGCCCATTTCCCCTCGACATCAGGAGTGGGGGACGATGCCAACCCCAGCCGCAAGCTATGATGAAATTCTTGCTTTCAATTTCCATCAGCTAGCCGAGACCATGCCACTATGGGTTTGAATGGGGTCCTGGCTGTACACCCACCACCGAAGTGGAAGAATGGCAGGCGCATCTTACAGATGAAAAGTCGATGGTCAGAGGGACGATCAGTTCCACGGTAGGTCCTGGTGTCAATGACATGGGCCCGCATCCGCTGTTCTGTCACTATGGAGTCCAGCAGATGTTCTTGCTTAGACCCGGCATGCATCCATGATGTTGTGTGGATGCGCCGATGTCGGAAAAGCGTGTTGGTAATTACAAGCCCATGGGCTGCACAAAAATCTAGCAGCCTCCTACCGTTGTTATTCAGCTGATCTGGCCAATGCCTTCCAATCACTCCAGACCAAGTGCCAGCATCATGACCAACTCGGGCATTGAAATCACCCAACAATATGACTCTGTCCCGAGTGGCCACTTTAGCCAGCACCTGTGACAGGAGGTCATAGAAGGCATCTGACTCATTGGCCTTGCCTGCATCCCTCAACGGATGTTCGTCTTCAGTAGGGACATAAGTAACCACGACCACCACTCCTCGCCTCCGGTTGATGGGAAGGCGAGCCCAAAGTAACCTGGGGCTTACAGCTTCCCACACCTCACCGCCACGCTCCCATGCCCCCTTCATTATTTTGTTCAGGAGAATAGCCACTCCCTGTTGTTTGGCAGTCTCCTGCCCCGAGTAGAGGACTGTCCACCCCTCATGTTGGCAGGAGCTAGAGCCGCTCCACCGGACCTCCTGAATACCACAGAGATCCAGGCGGTACCGGTCCAGCTCCCGACAGAGGAGTGGCAGATTCTCCTCCGCAGTGAGCGTTCGAACATTCCACGTGGCCACCCGTAGTGGTTTTTTGTTGTTTCTGGAGGAGCCCCGAGGGTAAGGATTTAGTCTACCTGGCTCCGCCAAATGGGGTTTGGCCAGGAGACGTCATAGATGCCTGTTCCCCCGGGGCCTCCGGCACAAGCTTATTAATGAAAATTTTCAGTCGTGGTTTGGTGGTAATTAATTGAAGGTGGAGGTGTTACCAGCCCCTCGCACCCGTCCAGAGAACCCCATTTGGCCGCTGTGGTGGTTACAAACGCCATGAGGGGAATGGCCAATCTAAATAGGCCCTCCCCCCACGGCACTGCCCACCACAGCGTTGCCATCCGGCACCAGCGAGGAGGTAGCGGGTTGTTTGTGGCGGACGAAAGACACCACACACAGACAGACACATGCAACCAAACACACAGACAGACAGATACAGACACAGAGAAGAGCAGGGGCAGACAGAGAGCCACGGAGCGAACGTGATTGACCCACGGGGGTCACGATTCGCCTACTTAGCGACGCAGGTGACAAGAATTCTGGGCGGTATTTATAGCCATGACGTGGGTTGGCGGTTGGTTGGTTGGTTGGTGGTTGTGATGGTGTCGGAGTTGCTATTAGATTCCTGACTAATGGCGCTAAAACGCCAGCAATGACAACCCCGGAGCCATCGCACCCTGGGGGGGGTCAGAACGAGGCGAAGAAGTGTGTCTCTCGTTTGCGTCTCCTCCCACCGTCATCTTCTATATCCCAGGCTCGTACTTGCTCAACTTTGGAAGTCGATACGAGACCCGTGTGTCTGTCTCTCTATTTCATACTTTTATACTGGGGGAGGGGGGGAGGTCCCTTGATGTAGCTGCTCACCCCTGAACTCTAAGTGCTTCGATACGTGCATTGTCTTTGTACTGTTCGCCTTAAGGCGTTCTCTCTGATCTGACACTCGCGAGACTAGGCCTTAAAGGAGGCTGTCTCTGTTGTAGGCCAGTCAGTTTCAAAGACAACACAGGTTTGTTTGGGTTAGATCGCCTGCCCCCACCACCCCACACAGCCAATTAATAAGGGTTGTCACGTAAACAGAACGTGGCTATTTCGTTGCTAGTACAGCACACCGGTGTGTTGGAGAGAAAATCCGCAACATTTACAATCTGAGTACGACGTTTCGCCAGTAATAATTACAACCGGTGTTTATACATCTTGACACCACCTGTTTTATTGCCAAAAAGGGTCAAATCTATTCTTCTTATTGGTTCTTTTGGTAAAGTCACGTAGAAGGGAAATAATAAAATAATAAAAATAAAACATAACAAAATAATTCTCACGACGTTTCGGCCACAACGCTGTCTTTCCGACAGACCTGTTCTTCACCTGAGGACGGCTGCTTGCGTTGTGGCCGAAACGTCGTGAGAATTATTTTATTATGTTTTATTTTTATTATTTTATTATTTCCCTTTTACGTGACTTTACTGAAAGAACCAAGAAGATGAATCCCTGCAGTCACTAAAGCTTTAAATCGAAATCTATTCTTGCTTTTTTCATGCCTCTTTTTTTGAGCAGCTGTTCAGATGGACGCACGGGGTGAGACATATTAAGAGACGGGTAGACAGAGAGGCCAACGTCGATCTCCCCACCACGTAGACTCAAACCGGTATCTCCTATCCAGGCTCGGGACCTGCTTAGCTTTGCAAGCTCGAAAGGCTCAAATCTACGTGTGTGTGTGTGTCTGCCTCTACCCAATATTATTGTATCTCTCCATCTGTCTCTCTCCCGCCTAGCCTGTCTGTCGGTCTCTCTGCGTGTCCCTTGTCTGCCTCTCTGTCCGCTTCTCAGCCCATCCGTCTGTCTGTTACAGGAGGCGTACAGACGGACGGGCTGAGCAGCGGACAGAGAGGCAGACGGATGGGTGTCCATACACACCAACAGTAGGCAGGTAGACGACAGAGAGGCCACGTGTCTGTCACTGTCAACCAATATTCCTTGTAGCCTATGTACAACTCCATCGCGGTATTCCGTTGCATTATCGAGAGACAAACCTCCTACGCATTTCACAAGTAGTACTAATCGCATATCTGCATTTCCCATAAATATGTTAAATTCCTCTTGATATGCAAATTATTTTGTCAAGGCGCTCTTCGCCCCCTCCATCCCACCATAAATAGTCGCTCCAAGCCTGGGGCTTGTCATTCAGACTCTGTCTCCTCGACAGACCGGTTCTCCACCTGAGGACGGCTGCTTGCGTTGTGGCCGAAACGTCGTGAGAATTATTTCATTGTGTTTTATTTTTATTATTTTATTATTTCCATTCTACGTGACTTTACCGAAAGAACCAAGAAGAGGTACCAATGACATTAGATAGAGGCGGAGACACATCCACATGCAGATTTGAGACACAGACACAGAGTGACACACGGACACACAGAGAGACGCATACACACCAACAGATATATAGACAAACAACAAAGAAAGGCTCCCTCCCGTATAGCCTCAAGATACTTTTGGGGCAAGTGCTGTTAGCGAGCAGCACGGTACACGAGCGGTTTGGGTTGCCAACATCACGCCCGCCCGCCTTTGTCTCCCCAGCGGCGATGTTTCCACGCCGCATCCAGGTACTCATTTGAGGCTGAGGCTGCCAAGGGGAAGGCCGTGACGGATTCAGGTAATCGCGACTGTAATTGGTCGTGAGCGAGAATTTAACTCGGGTCGGCGGGTTTGAAGCGCAGTGCGCTAACCGCTGCGCCACCGCTCCCTCTACCAACAACCCCACCCAGCCCACGCCAACAACCAGAGCAAAACACAACCTGAACTCACCACTCACTCACCCGACTCACCACTCACTCACCCGATTCACTACTCACTCACCCGATTCACCACTCACTCACCCGACTCACCACTCACTCAGCCGACTCACAACCCACTCACCCGACTCACAACCCACTCACCCGATTCACAACTCACTCACCCGACTCACCACTCACTCACCCGATTCACTACTCACTCACCCGATTCACCACTCACTCAGCCGACTCACCACTCACTCACTCGACTCACCACTCACTCAGCCGACTCACCACTCACTCACTCGACTCACCACTCACTCAGCCGACTCACAACCCACTCACTCGACTCACAACTCACTCACTCGACTCACCACTCACTCGCCCGACTCACCACTCACTCACCCGACTCACCACTCACTCACCCGTACTCACCACTCACTCAGCCGACTCACAACCCACTCACCCGACTCACCACTCACTCACCCGACTCACCACTCACTCATGCGACTCACTCGACTCACCACTCACTCACCCGACTCACCACTCACTCACCCGACTCACCACTCACTCACCCGACTCACCACTCACTCACCCGATTCACAACTCACTCAGCCGACTCACCACTCACTCACCCGACTCACCACTCACTCGACTCACCACTCACTCACCCGACTCACCACTCACTCGACTCACCGCTCACTCACCCGATTCACAACTCACTCAGCCGACTCACCACTCACTCACCCGACTCACCACTCACTCACCCGACTCACCACTCACTCACCCGACTCACCACTCACTCACCCGACTCACCACTCACTCACCCGATTCACAACTCACTCAGCCGACTCACCACTCTCTCACCCGACTCACCACTCACTCAACCGACTCACAACCCACTCACCCGACTCATCACTCACCCGACTCACCACTCACTCACCCGACTCACCACTCACTCACCCGACTCACCACTCACTCAGCCGACTCACAACCCACTCACCCGACTCACCACTCACTCATCCGACTCACCACTCACTCACCCGACTCACGACTCACTCACTCGAATCATCACTCACTCACCCGACTCACCACTCACTCAGCCGACTCACCACTCACTCACCCGACTCACCAGTCACCCGATTCACCACTCACTCAGCTGACTCACGACTCACTCACTCGACTCACCGCTCACTCACCCGACTCACAACTCACTCACCCGACTCACCACTCACTCACCCGACTCACCATTCACCCGATTCACCACTCACTCAGCTGACTCACGACTCACTCACTCGACTCACCTGCTCACTCACCCGACTCACCACTCACTCACCCGACTCACCACTCACTCAGCCGATGCACAACCTACTCACCGACTCACCACTCACTCACCCGACTCACCACTCACTCACCGACTCACGCTCGTTCACCCGACTCACCACTCACTCACCCGACTCACCACTCACTCACCCGACTCACCACTCACTCACCGACTCACCACTCACTCACCCGACTCACCACTCACTCACCGACTCACCACTCACCCGACTCACCACTCACTCAGCCGATGCACAACCTACTCACCGACTCACCACTCACTCACCGACTCACGCTCGTTCACCTGATACGCACTCGCGCGCTCAACCGAGAGCTGTTCACCCGCGCCTCTGATTTGCACTGTTGGCTCCGTACGGTGCGAAAGAAGTTCAACATACATACACCAAGCCGACTCACGACCCACTCACCGGACAGCAACAGCAGAGACCCTGCCACGTGCAGTCGACGCATGGTTGGTGGTGATGTTTGTGGTGGTGGTGACGGCGGAGGTGATGTTGATGACGATGCCGTTGGCGGTGCTGATGACGGTGGTGGCGGCGACGGTGGTGGTGGTGTTGGTGATGATGACGATGGTGGTGGTGTTGGAGGTGATGATGATGGTGGTGGTGTTGGTGGTAATGATGATGGTGGTGGTGGTGGTGTTGGTGCTGATGATGGTGGTGGTGGCGACGGTGGTGGTGTTGGTGGTGCTGATGATGGTGGTGGTGTTGGTGGTGTTGGTGGTGATGATGGTGGTGGTGTTGGTGCTGATGACGGTGGTGGTGGCGACGGTGGTGGTGTTGGTGATGACGACGATGGTGGTGGTGTTGGTGCTAATGATGATGATGATGACGATGGTGGTGGTGTTGGTGCTGATGATGGTGGTGGTTGCGACGGTGGTTGTGTTGGTGGTGATGATGATGGTGTTGGTGCTGCTGATGGTGGTAGTTGCGACGGTGGTTGTGTTGGTGGTGATGATGATGGTGTTGGTGCTGCTGATGGTGGTGGTGGCGACGGTGGTGCTGTTTGATGGTGATGATGATGAGCACGAGGATTCTCACGCTTTTATGTCTCTCTCCAGACGCCCTTTGCCCTCGAGCAAATTGCAGAGCGCGCGCGCGCGCGCGTGCGTACCGGCTCGGGTCGAGTGACGCACGCTTGGGATAGCCCGGAGATTCGACTAAATAAATAAATAAACGCCACGGCAGCTCTAGAAGTCGTCGTGATGATAATAATACTAATAGATGGAATATTAATCGCATCCAAAAGTAGAAGCGGCAACGAGTTGTATTCATAAGCAAGGGGCGTTTGATCCGTGGAACGTGGCGGGGGGCGGGGGGGGATATTTATGTCCGGGTAACAAATAAAATCTTGACTTAATAAAGCTTTCGTGACTGCAGGAATGCATACTCTTTGGGTCTTTCGGTAAAGTCACGTGGATAGAAAAATAATAATTTAAACAAAAAAATCACGACGTTTCGATGGCAACACGAGCAATCGTCTTCGGGTGAAAAAAATAAAAGCGGACGGACGGCTGAGGCCTGTGTGATAGACCCAAAGTGGGTGAGAACAAATGAAATCATTGCTAATAGTAGTGATGATGACGTACGGCGGGTGAGGTAGCCATCCCATTGCCTTGCCTGAGAGACGGTGCATTTGCAGACAAAGACAAAGACCCCCCGTGTAGCCTTGACAGACCGTTGGGGCAAGTGCTTGCAGCGAGCACTTATGAAGGCCGGCACGGCACACGAGGGGGTGGGTTGCCAACAACAAGCCCGGCCGCCTTTGTCTCCCGAGTGGCGATGTTTTATACACCGCACCAGCTACTTATTCGAGGCTGAGTCGACCTAGGGGAGGCCCAGGAGCGGTTGAAGTATTCGACGGTGTTATTAGTCGTGAGTGGGATTCAAACTCGGGTCACTGATCTCGTAGCGCAGTGCGCTAACTATTGCGCCATCGCTTCCCACAAATCTAATTTCAGACGCACTCACCCACCGACTCAATCAGTCTCACACCCACTCACTCGATCACCTACTCACTCATTCACTCTCACACCCACTCGCTCGATCACTCACCTACCGACTCAATCACTCTAACACCCACTCACTCGATCACTCACCTACTCACTCATTCACTCTCACACCCACTCGCTCGCTCACTCACCTACTCATTCATTCTCACACCCACTCACTGGAAAACTCACCCACCGACTCAATCACTCTCACACCCACTCACTGGATAACTCACCTACTCACTCATTCACTCTCACACCCACTCACTGGAAAACTCACCCACCGATTCAATCACTCTCACACCCACTAACTCGATCTCTCACCTACTAACTCATTCACTGTCACACCCACTCACTCGATCACTCACCTACTCACTCATTCACTCTCACACCCACTCACTGGAAAACTCACCCACCGACTCAATCACTCTAACCCACTCACTCGATCACTCACCTACTCACTCAATCACTCTCACACCCACTCACTCGATCACTCACCCACCGACTCAATCACTCTCACACCCACTTCACTCGATCACTCACCTACTCACTCATTCACTGTCACACCCACTCACTGGAAAACTCACCCACCGACTCAATCACTCTCACACCCACTCACTCGATCACTCACCTACTCACTCATTCACTCTCACACCCACTCACTCGATCACTCACCTACTCACTCAATCACTCTCACACCCACTCACTGGAAAACTCACCCACCGACTCAATCACTCTAACACCCACTCACTCGATCACTCACCTACTCACTCATTCACTCTCACACCCACTCGCTCGATCAGCCACCTACTCACTCATTCACTCTCACACCCACTCACTCGATCACTCACCTACTCACTCATTCACTCTCACACCCACTCACTCGATCACTCACCTACTCACTCAATCACTCTCACACCCACTCACTGGATAACTCACCCACCGACTCAATAACTCTAACACCCACTCACTCGATCACTCACCTACTCACTCAATCACTCTCACACCCACTCACTCGATCACTCACCTACTCACTCATTCACTCTCACACCCACTCACTGGATAACTCACCCACCGACTCAATAACTCTCACACCCACTCACTCGATCACTCACCTACTCACTCAATCACTCTCTCACCCCCTCACTCGATCACTCACCTACTCACTCATTCACTCTCACACCCACTCACTCGATCACTCACCTACTCACTCATTCACTCTCACACCCACTCGCTCGATCAGCCACCTACTCACTCATTCACTCTCACACCCACTCACTGGATAACTCACCCACCGACTCAATCACTCTAACACCCACTCACTCGATCACTCACTTACTCACTCATTCACTCTCACACCCACTAACTCTATCACTCACCTACTCACTCATTCACTCTCACACCCACTCACTCGATCACTCACCTACTCACTCATTCACTCTCACACCCACTCACTCGATCACTCACCTACTCACTCATTCACTCTCACACCCACTCGCTCGATCAGCCACCTACTCACTCATTCACTCTCACACCCACTCACTCGATCACTCACCTACTCACTCATTCACTCTCACACCCACTCACTGGAAAACTCACCCACCGACTCATTCACTGTCACACCCACTCACTCGATCACTCACCTACTCACTCATTCACTGTCACACCCACTCACTGGAAAACTCACCCACCGACTCAATCACTCTAACACGCACTCACTCGATCACTCACCTACTTACTCATTCACTCTCACACCCACTCACTCGATCACTCACCTACTCACTCAATCACTCTCACACCCACTCACTGGAGCACTCACCCACCGACTCAATCACTCTCACACCCACTCACTCGATCACTCACCTACTCACTCATTCACTCTCACACCCACTCACTCGATCACTCACCTACTCACTCATTCACTCTCACACCCACTCGCTCGATCAGCCACCTACTCACTCATTCACTCTCACACCCACTCACTCGATCACTCACCTACTCACTCATTCACTGTCACACCCACTCGCTCACTCACCTAGTAACTATTTGGGAAATACACTCGTCTCGTTTCTCTTTCTCAGTTTTTTTGTTTTAGTTTCCGTTTTAAATTACTGGAATGAAGGGGTACAATTATAGAGGATCTCTAGGGATAGGCACGATTTAGTGTACTTAGTGGTAGTGCCTTACGCCAATAATCTAAACTCCAAGTCGGCCTCGAAGCATTCCAGGAAATTCACGTACTTTAATAACGCACGCATACCTGCGTGCAAGCACTGGGGAGACAAAGGGGCCGTCCATAAATGACGTCACACACCTAGGGGGGGGGGGGAGGGGTCAGACATTTGTGACGATGTGTGACGAGGGGTGAGGGGTTTGAGAAATGTGACGTCACATCAAAATGCGTAACTTTAAATAAATATAGACAACACGTTCTACTTAATTAAATAGACCTTTTAATAAATGTTTTCTCCTACAACATCAGAGTGCAGCGGTAAATTAAATACGCACTACAATGACAATAGTGTAAAGCGATTTGAAGCATGTTAATTTTTTTTGGGGGGGGGGGGGGAAAGCTTCGTGACGTCATTTGAGGGGGGGTTTGACTTTTTGTGACGCCGTATGACGATGGGGAGGGGGGTAAAAAATCGTCAAAAATCGCGTGACGTCATTTATGGACGGCCCCAAAGGCGACCGGGCGTGGGACCTGGACACACCAACCCATTAGCGTCGCGTGTTGGGCTCTCATAAGGCGATCGCTAACGGCACTTGCCCCAACAGTCAGTTGAGTGCTCTATGCGGAACTTTGTCTGTGCATGTATTTATTTTTCGGTAAAGTCACGTAGGTAAAATGTAAAAATAAATTAAATCTTCGCAGCAAAATTACGGTATCAAGTCTCTTGATACAGTAATGACGGTTCCACCTGAAGACGGAAGCTTGTGTTGCCTCCGAAACGTCGTGATTTAATTTATTGTGAATATTTTCACCTACGTGACTTTACCGAAAAAACCAAAGAGTTTGAATCCTTGCAGTCACGAAAACTTCAAATCTAGAATGTATGTATTTTTTGTTTGTATGTCTTTGTCAGAGTCTGAATATTTATTCGAACTGGAGGAATCCGATGAGCTTTAAAGCTCTTCTTCACAGGTGTCCTGGAGGGGCGGGTTAGAACGTTACAACAACAACACAATACAAAAACACGATAGTAGTCTGAAGTACAAGAAAGTTAAACACATCACCCAAACACGCACACATCCCCATCCTCCCAAGGAAACTTATTTTTCAGAAGCGATCTGGCCCATCATTTGGACATTAATAGCACCAAAATGATTTAAAACACATTCCTGCGGAGGGAGCTGGTAGGAACGTTGGGTTGCTCGGTCAATGGCCAGGGTCAACGGCGGCGTGGTGTATTCCGCAAATATGCCCGACTGTGAGGGCGGGCACAAGCCGGCGTGAGTAGGTTAAACGTTGAGTTTTATAAGGGCACCACGGGGTGACCAGCCCCACCCCACCCAGCCCCACCCCTCCCACCCCCCACCCAGCCCAACCCTCCCCACCCAGCCCCACCCTCCCCACCCAGCCCCTCCCCACCCTCCCCACCCAGCCTCTCCCCACCCTCCCCTCCCCACCCAGCCCCTCCCTCCCCACCCAGCACCTCCCTGCACGACAGACGGACGGACACAATAATCCCCTGTGGGCTGGTGTAACCAGGAGGTTCCTACCAGTATAATGTCTTTGTATATTTGCATACTTGTGTTTGAGTGAGTGTCCATGTGCCTATGAATGTGTGCGCACTATACTAGATTCAAGAAAGAGTTTTCTATTTTTGCTGCTATAAATTTCCACATGGTGTCAAGCCACTTTGTTGAGCAATCATGCATGACCAGGTCGCTTCTGAAAAGAAGCCAATGGCTCAGTTGGCTTTACCTAGTAAGAGAAAAACATATTAAGTTTGACTTGTATATTTTTAAGTGATTCGTTTACCTTTCCTATACGTTGCAC